ACTAAGATGCAGCTAGACTAGAATCAGGAAGATCTGGGTTTTTGTTTTTTTTCCATTTTCTTTTTGTCTCTTCTCAAAAAATCCTACATATTTCTTTTGTAAATCCAAAGTAAAAAATGTTATCCACCTCACTCTTCTGGTTTATCATTTGTATATCCTGTTATCATCTGCAACACAATAGGACCCATCTAGCAACAGAAACTCGCCACATGGGATCTGGGAAGATTGCATCAGCCAGCACGGCTAGCTAAGACCCAAACCCCTTGGGACAGGGGTGGGTTCTAAATTTTTTTACTACCGGTTCTGTGGGCGTGGCTTATTTTGTGGGCGTGGCTTGATGGTCATATGACAATTATTTAGGATTTAGCAGAGGTACTGGTCTACCAGGCATTTAATTGCTTGCAGAGCTGTACTGATCTACCCATTTATTTTTTGCAGGCACTGGTCTACCCATTTATTTTTGCAGGCACTGATCTACTCATATATTTTTGCAGGCACTGATCTACTCATATATTTTTGCAGGCACTGGTCTACTCATTTGTTTTCTTTTAACACTGATCAGCTGTAGGGCGGCCCTTTGAAGCCCCGCGGCAAGAGTTTATACAGTTTTTTCCCTCTAGCCATCAGCTGAGACTCAGGAGGCAGCAATAGATTTGGGGTGGGGCCAAATAAAAGGTAAGAATAATGCGGGGGGAAAGAGAAATCTCAATTTCTCCTACTATGCATTTAACTTTTGCTTATTTTTTTTTATTCTTATCAAGTTCCATTGATTTAGCATAAGAATTCCATAAAGTTTTATGAAAGCATTTTTTGCCATACTTGTCCCTAGTTGTAGATAAAGATTTGAGACCAAATTCACGAGACCAGCTCTCCAGATACCTTGCTCAGTCTTAAATGCTATCTATATCCAGTATCTATAACTGGAGACAGCTATGGCAAAAGAAACAAAAGTGTGCCTTGCTTCCATTAAACTTTGGTTAAAGCTTAACTTTTATCTTCAAGGCCTAGCATCATTAATTCTCCTGGTCAGCTTTCAATCTACCTAGAACAAGACTATTGGATCTAATCTTCTAAACTGAGTCTCTCTCCTGTTTGGTTCTTAAGATGAAATATGATAAGGCGAAACAAACCTTGAAGCAAAGAATAAAAGATAGGGAACATTAAGGAGAAGGAGATACAAGAAAAAGAGGAAACAGAATACTACCTAGTCTGGGAGAGATGGTATAAATGGTTGGAGGAAAAGGGAAAAAAGGACAAGGAAAGATTAAATAACGATTGAATTAGGAGTAGAAATATAAGAACAAATGGGAAGAAACAAAAATTGTGGAAAGGAAATTGGGTACACATTTATGTTTAATGTAAATAAAACAAGTAGAATGATATAATACATTATAGTGAGATATATATGATATAATAGAAATATATGTATAAAAGATATACTAGGATAAGAGAGAGAAAATGTATAAGTATGGATTACCGACGTGAAACTATTGAAAAGAAGAAAGTGTTAATATTTCTTTTTGGTTTTTTTTTTTTTAAACTGTTTAATAAAAATATTTTTTTAAAAAAGATAGGGAGCATTAGGGATATCTAGGGAAGGCCCCAACCTTTCTGTCATTAGCATACAAGAAATATATTGTCACGGCTGCCAACTACCTGCCCAACTAGAAGCACTGGAAAACTGGCAAATAATAAAAAGGACCATTGGCTAAAATCTGCCCCTGTGATTTTGAAAAGCAGAAACCACAGGACATTTTCTTCTTTGTTGCTCCTTTTAGACAGAACCTGATTTATCCTCCCTCTGATTTGCAGATATCATAGCAGCTCAGATTCAGCCTATACCCGGATGCTGTTCATAGATGAGCTGCATTTTGACAGTGTATGGGGCTAGCTTTTGTGGAGCAGCAGGAATAGCTGCCAGACCTTGATGAGCCAAGTTCCCACAGATCTTATGTAATCTTAGATATTATCTTTTTTTAATAACTATCATGTTTTACTTAAATTTTAGATACTATCACGTTTTGTAATTTTAGATGCTATCACACTTCATATAATTTTAGAGACTACTTTATAACTTGGACATAGATTGCTCCTTTTAGACCTCACTCAGGGATTCTCATCATTTTATAAATGTATTTTAACTTTGACTAATTGACTTAGATTTTATTTACTACTTATTAAGATAGATTTATAAGGGCTCACAAAGCACTCTTTGACACATTGCTTGTATTGGTCTAAAACTGTAATAAACTGACTGATACATGCTTTACTGAGAAGAAGTTCTGTTGATTTTTTTTCACAAATAAAACTAAATACAGTATGTTAGCAACCAAATTACTCACAATAAATTAAAGTATTAATGTCCTGCACACTGTTTGCTTCCTGAGATAAAGTTATAAAGATTGCCTTCTCATTCTAGTTATGCCTTTCTGACTGGATATTTGTACATCAGCGATGGAACAGCATTAACAATATTCATACATTAGGCATGAAGTAATAACTAATAAATTTAAATAAATAAATAGTATGAATCAAGGTTTGAACCTTCAGTTTTGCCTTGCCACAGATTCAGGAAAGCAGTTGGTAGTTGGATTTCCTACTGATTAGCAATGCTGGGTGAAAGGGAAAAAGACAGCAGGGAATCCATCAATTGGTAGCCTGAAATTGCCAGATATTAAGTTGTGTGAATAAGCATTGTCCAGCATTGTCCAGCCTCATTGTTGAGGCTCAGTACAAGTAGGCTGTGGCAACTGTGGGGATATGCTGCTGTCTTCTGCTGCTGATTTATGTACAGAAAGAAAGTATATTACCATAAGAATTACAGAAGGAGATTGTACAGTATCAGAGACTAAATTGATTTTGAACTTAATATCAGCAGCTAGGCTGTTGGTAGCGCAATATTGGAAGAAGGACTCTTTGCCTACTATTGAAGAGTGGATACTGAAAGTAACGAACTTAGCAGAAATGGCGAAAATCTCAGCGTACTTGAAGGACCATACACAAGAAAGATACGTATCGGAATGGAGAAGATGGATTGATTATATTCAAAATAAGTATCAGACAAGAAAATATCAAATAGCTTATGAATGAACGTTAAGTATTAGAAGTATTATGTTATCTATAGTGGAGTTAAGGTTTCGGGGGGGAGTTAGTAGTCTGAGGATAAGTAGGTTAATCTAGTTTATGATTGTTAAATGAAATATCTTGTATTTTGCTCTGGGAAGTCTGTGGGGGAGGGTGGGATGAGGGGAGGGAAAGGGTGGGGGGAACATGGGGGGGAAGAAAATTCTTTTTTTTCTGTAAAACTTTTCAATTAAAAAAAAAGAATTACAGAAGGAAAGGTCTGTCTCCAGGCATGATCAAAGTCAAGATGGCAATCTGTAGAGACTAAGAAAGACTCAGACAGACACCTCCTAATTCACATGAGTAGGGATAGAGGCAGGGAAATAAAGCATAATCAGACTTCGAGATTCTGTTATGATAGCTAAATAGATAAAAATATGATAAAAAATAGATAGAAAAAAATAGTTTTAGGTTTCAGTGCAGTTGAATTTTTTGGTCTGGCCTACATCTCATTTCTTGTGGGGAGCATAGGAAGAGGAACATGTTGGGTTATGTTTGCCATCTTGAGTTATTTGTAAAAATGATAAAGGCAGGATATAAAAAAATAAATAAAATAGTGGGGCTGACACAGTCACAATGATGCAGTCAAACCTTTGGTGGGGCAATAGTATTTTAAACAGGATACTCTACGTAGGGCATAAAATTTTTCAACCTTCAATTTTCAAACATTAGAGGTGCTCAAAAGTTGTGATATGCCTTGGGGATTGTAAATATATTTTGGTTACTTTAATATAATTTAGATGTGCTTGGTAAATAACTATATAAATATCATAACTTTTCAGACCAGCAAATCCGCAGTACCATCAAAGAAGAACATTATTCTGTGTGCAGTGAGCCGGGTGGAAGATAGCTTTTATCATTTCACTCCAGAGAAAGGCTCAATAACAGAGAAACCTGCTCAGGTGTTTGCAGATAATCTGGTGTATTTCATGAAGAAGAAAAGCATTGACAAAAGCTTGAAGGCCATTGGAAGATTCTACAAATTTTAATACTGGCTGTGAAGGTAGTGCCATGCATTGGGTAGAGGTCAAGCCAGAGCTTCCACTCTGCTGGAACTGACTGGCTTGTCTGAAGGTGTATATGAGCCACCTTTGATGTGCAAACTCACTACAGCGGAAATAAAGAAGTTTATTGATGATCCAGTGCAAGTACCACAGTGGCTCTGTCATACCCAATCAATAGAGAGATGTATAAAACAGGTCCAGAGGCTGCAAGCAGAGTTGTTACACATGAGAAACATGAGGGTTATATCAGAAGCCAAGAAGCAAGTCGGGGGCTGATGTCAAAGAACGAATCAAAACAAGACTTAATGAAACTCACTTAAACTTTTTTGTAACTCAGATAATTGCTTTCAGATGCTAGTTTATGATTGCATGGATAGCTTTTTGCTTAGCTAGATAAGATTCAACAGAAAAAAACTTTAACTTTTGTACCACAAGGTGTAATTTTGAGAAGATAAAGTTAACAGTACACTATTTGTGGGGTATATGACCAGATGTGGATTTGCATACCAAGCTAAACGTACAATTGCAAAAATAACAGCAGATTTGAATTCTTGGTGTAAAAACTTATTTTTAGAACCTCTCATTGAAAATATTACAAAAATTAATTTTCACCCCATTAAATGACACGCCTCATTACTCATTACTCATTACCATTATGGGTATTTATAAGTCCCTACATTAAATTATTAATACTGTGACCATTCATCTATTTTGATGACAATCAGAACAGAAATTTCATAGGTTCTTCCATTTTTCTAAGCAGACTCCCAAATTGAACACATTCAGAATTTCCAAGCTATTAAAATAATCATTTCAATAATTCCACTTAAACATTTTATAGGTAGTTGTAAGGAAGCAAAGCTTTGTATTTACCTTACAAATTAATTATTTGAAAACTCCAACTTGCTGGGATGTTGTTCCTGGCTGTTTATCGTTGTTGCCTAGTTACAGATGATGCATTTGTATTCTGACCATTTTGATTTGTTGATTCTAAATATAGCTCGCTCTAGCTCTGACCATTTAGAGATAAATCCTCTTAAATGAGAGCGAAAGTGAAAAAATACCTGACAAGCCTCTCTTGGATAACAAGGGAAACCCTTGCAGAATATATTTGCAAAGGACCTGAAGTTTTAGTTAAGTAGATCTACCTGTACATCTGGTGACACCATGAAAAAAGGCCTTCTGAATGGTATAGTTCCTTCCCTATGGAACATCATTCCCATGAGTTACAGGTAATCCTCAAGGAATGATGGGCTGTTTAATGACTATTTGAAATTGCAAATGCATCCCAAAGGTGTACTTATGACAGCGGTTCAAAATTGCAACCAAGAACAGGTCTCTGCAGTCATGTGATCTGGATTCAGTCACTTCTGAAGCAGCAGCCATTTTTAATCCTGCGACTTCTCTTTGGGACCTGAAAGTTGCCCACAGTTACGACAGGCAATTTCTGAGGTCCATGTGGTTGCGCATGATTTTTTCCCCCCTGGTCACATGACCAGTCAAGATCTGGGGACTTTGAAGCCCACGTGTTTTTGTTTTCTCTTCATTACTGCCTGATGGAGGACTAGAGGGATTCTGGTTGCTGCCCTTGTTGCTTCTTTGTTCCTGTTGCTTTGAGGTGGAGAGTACTGTAGTTGCCTTTGTAAGTACCGTAGCTAAAAATGTTATTTTTCATTATAATACTCTACTTGTTTGTAAGTATTTTACAAAGATAAAGTTTTTTCCATTAGTTTGTTTATGTTTGCCTTGGAATTTCTTGCAGAAATACTAGCAGTGCCTACAGAAAGCAGATTCAGAACTGTAAAGTTCCTTTGCCTTCTACTGTGGCAAACTGTGTTTGTTTACATTTGCTTTGAAGCCTGTGGAAGCCTACCTAGATTGAAATAACTGTCTCTGAAGTTTCACAGGTTGTGATCACAACAACTATCAGAGGAAAATAATCTGATATCACTAGTCATTAGCAAGGCAGATGGAACCAAGCCTCCCACCCAAAAGAGGTAGCTGTCCATTACATAGTGTGGGTAGAAAAAAAGGACAAAAAAAAAAAAAACCAGCTTTGAAAAGAAGTCATTTTTTATGCACAGAGCCCAAGTGGAATCCCTTTGTTATGGCTTATCTTGTCTGCAGTAAAATTCATTATCAGCCCTTGGATTCTTGTGCACCTATTTAATTATTTCCAAGACAATTCAGACCTAACAAATAAGAAACTTTTCCAGTGCTCCAGCTCAACACAATTCTTCCTTTGTATTTTTAGCCTGCTAGCCAGGGTATTTCTGAACAACGGTCAGGTGCTCTTTCAAAAAAAGGATCAAACCCATGCTCAAAAGTTGCCCAGCTGACAGGTTAAAAAAATATGGAGGGGGGCACAGGGTCAAATGGGAGTGACTGAAAGCAAGCAGAGATGGCAGAAGTGACACCGAGCAACCAAGAGGCCCAGGTGACTGGCAGATCCAGAAATAGCTATGGGCTGCTATGGGAGTGCATGGGTTAGAGCAGATGTTCAGTACTGCACAATTGTAATGATAGTGCCACCAAAGTTGGAATGAAGATTAAAATGACACAGTTCACCTAAGGCACATAAGTAACTAGAATTCAGTGCATGACCAGCTATTCCAGCTGTATATAATTAGGGTTCCAGGCTTGTTTACCAGACAGAGGAAGTTGTACTTCTTGTACTCAAATCCACAGAATAAACGTAGTAAAAAGAATGGAAAATGCATCAAATGTTTAATCACAACATGACTGTGTGTGTCATCATTTTGATGAAGTCTTGATTTCCTCCAGACAAGTATAACGCCATGAGGATGTGCCCTAAAAAAGCAATAATGAAGACATCTTTGTTTGGAGACCCCTGTCCTAGACTAAGAAGACTTTTTTTAAAAAAATATTTTTGTTTTTAAAATAACAGGAAAAAAAAATCCCAAAAGCAACAAGACACAAAAGTACATTTTTAAAGAAAAAGAAATACATACTGTTTCCCTGAAAATAGGACCCTGTCTTATATTTTTTTGAACCCCAAAATAAGTGCTTGGCCTTTTTTTCGGGGAGGTCTTATTATTTTGGGGCGCATGGAGCAAGATGGGGCTCCTCTTGCCATCTTACCTGATTTCCAGCTCTGTATTTAAATATTTTCGGGGAGGGCTTATTTTCGGGAGGGGGGGAGGCTTATTTTAGCACATGTGCTCAAAAGCCCGATTTGGCTTATTATCAGGGGATGTCTTATTTTCAGGGAATCAACTTAAAACGAAGTGAAAACTTGCTCACTTATTTTTGAGCCCTAGAGAATGCTTAAAACAGTAATTCATTGTCCAGAATGCGGCTTATTCTTTGCTAATATTCAGCAGATTGCTGAATCAAATATTAATCTGGGCCACAAGCACAAATACTTGAGGCAAGGAAAAAACTTTTCATTAAAATGGTCAAAATGACTTCAACAACTTCAGTTAAGACTTTGGGGGTACATACTACATACCCTGTATTTTAACCTTATTCATTCACTTAATGTAATGGAGTTGCAGGCTAGGTTAAACGTTTTAGATTTCTGCCGCCAAAAAAAAACAACAACACCCCTAATCCATGTCCATTTGTAAAATGCATTTACGGTACATTAATACTGGCTTCGGAATTCTGGGCATTGAAGTCCACACAACTTTTAAAAGTTGCTAGGATTGTGAAGCACTGCCGTAGCTGTGCTGCAAGTTCTTAACATTTTAAAAATACGGGTGACTTATTCTAAACACAGTTATCTGAGAACAATATTATCGCATGTCTACATAGCGCTGAAGTCCAGGAGGTTCAGTGAAATTTAGTTGTAGCTAACTTTATCTAAAACCGAAAGACAAAATATCCCACCGATTTGTTCCTTCTGACCAAATTACCAATCGCGAAGAACGCGATAGGAGGAGTCAGAAGAACTTCCCTCCAGGCTCGTTGCAAAGAGAAGGCTGCCAGGACTGGATCGGCAGTTCCACGAGTGCGGCTTGCCTTGGCCCAGAAATACCGAATTGTTCATTAATTTAGCCTGGGAGTTGCGGTGGCGAGAGGCGTGGCCTTGCTTACGAGCAAAATGTTACGGATCTGTTTGAGTCACTGCTCGCGAAGGACTTCCATTGTGAGCTTCGGAGGTTGGCGGAGCCGGCGGGCGCCCTTTTCCGCCTCTGCTTGTGTCATGGAGCCTCGCTTCAGCCTTTCTCCCCGCGACCACAGCCTCTTCGATCAGCCGCTGGCCATCTCGGTAGAAGGGCTCCAGCCCCAGCAGGAGATCGGGCTCCGCGCCTCCCTGGAGGATGAGAAGGGGGAGCGCTTCGAGTCGCACGCCTTCTACCGAGCAGACGGCGAGGGGCGGCTGGATCTGCAGCGCTCGCCGGCGCTCGAAGGCGGGACCTTCTCAGGTTTGGAGCCGATGGGCCTGCTGTGGTCGATGCAGCCGCTAAAACCCCTCAGGCGCCTGGTGAAGCGCGACGTCGAGCGCCCCCTTCGCCTGGAGCTGGAGGTATTGGAAAGGCTGGGAACGTCTCTGTCTGGTCGCGTCCTGGCCAAGGCCTCCCACGAACGGAGATTCCTGGGCGACGGGGTGAAGAGACTCCCGGTGCGGGAAGGGAACGTCCGGGCCACTCTTTTCCAGCCACCCGGTAAACAGTAATTTCTTCCTACAGAAATTGCTCTATTAATAATATACTCATGTCCCGGAGGATCAGCCAAGAGCGAGTTCATTAATCCACTTTTGGGATCCTCAAGATCACGCTGAATTGAGCTACGGTATAACTGATCAGGCAGGTTGAGGCTGTTTCGATTCAGTGCTTTGTTCGAACTCATGTTTGGTTGTAGCTGATGTTTACATATTTACCCAACAGCATTACAGGTTGAATCACAACCTGTAATGCGACCATATTTTAGCCTAGTGTGTTATATGAATTATGAACTCAGGAAATAAGATTGAATAAGGTGTAATTACTTTTTTTTAGTATGCTTTCAAACCAGTCTTGGCTCCAAGTAACTGCCTGGACTAATCCCTGCAGCTTTCTGGACACCATTTTTGGAAATTTGGCTTTCTGGGGTTGAGAGAGAGTGACTGGCTCAAAGTCACCTAGTTGGCTGTCTACCCAAGAGAGGCTTAGGAAATAAGAGTCCCTCAGTTACCATAGTACTCTGGTACCTTCAACCTCTACACCAAATTGGCTTTATGATTTCTGAAATTAAAATCAGTGGAATACAATACACCATCATTATATTAGCCTACCCAGCCTTTATGTTCACATATTGTATTAAATAATGGTTGATTTACTGGAGGTTTATAAATCACGACTGACTGGTTTTTTGTAACATGCTAAACCATAAATTTTGATTTCCAAACCACAGTGGCTAGCTTTATGTGACAGAATAAGCTAAACAATGAAACCATGCTATCGCTTGGCCAGTTGTTTAAATCAAGCCATGTGCCCTTTTGTGCTTTATCTTTGATGCAGAACTTCGTTTAAAATATGCTAAATTCTTAAGAAATCTACAGTAACTAAAAACCACTGCTCTACTTTATATCTCTTGCAGGTAAAGGCCCCTTTCCAGGTATCATTCAGGTACCTGGAACTGGAGGAGGCACTCCAGAAAGTTCAGCATGTCTGATGGCCAATCATGGCTTTGCCGTATTAGCTTTGGCCTATTATGGGTATGAAGATCTTCCTAAGGACATACTGGATTTGCGTCTGGAGTACTTTGAAGAAGCTGTCAATTATATGCTAAAACATCCAGTGGTAGGTTGCTATATTCATGGCCTTTGCAAGAGGTTTAGCTGAGATATCTTTTTTTTAGCCACAGAAATATATTCAGTCAGTTGGGGTCAGACTCAGCTCAGCTTTCCAGACAAGATGATTGTCAAAGGGAAAATTGGAGGGGGTTAAGGTTAGTATACTGTTATGTTATACTAGATCAGAGGTGGGCAATTGATTTTCCCAAGGGGCTACAATGAGAAATTGGACTGTTGTGGAGGACCACTACCCACATATCCCCCACCACCACCCCACCTGCCATCCTGCCCCCCTGCCATTGCCAATTGGGACAGTAAAAGGATGGCCCCTGAGCTGTAAAAAGGCCAGGTCTGTCCTAGATAATTTAACCAGTAAATAAATGCATTTACAAGAAGTCCTTGTTTATAGACTGATACATTTAGCGACCATTTGCAATTACTATGATAATGAAAAAGTAATTAATTCCTGGCATTTATGACCTTTGCATTTCTATAAAGCAAAGGAAAACTGAAGTAAGATCATAAGACAACTGCCGTTTCACTTAGCAATCATTTTGCTTAACAACCAAGTTATTCCGCCTCCTGAATTTTTACAAGAGCCTTAAGACCTGGCTCTGCCAGATGGCGTGGGGACCCAATGTAGGAGCTTCACACTGGAGATCATTGACTAATTAAAAGGTAATCCTACCTCCTTCCCCTCCTGTGAATCTGGCTCCCTCCTATGCTATCTTCTGTTATTTTACCTGCTTTGTTCTTTTATATCTGATGATTTAAATGTTTTTCTGCTGTAAGCCATTCAGTCGATGGAAAGGCAAAGAAATTTCTAAATAAATAAATACCATATGTTTCAGACTATAAGACACACCTACATTTAGAAGCGGAAAACAACAAAGTTTTTGACATCCCGGCATTCTTTTTTCGAATCTTTTCCAGCCTTTTTTCAGCCTGTTTTTGAGGCTTTTTTTGGCCTTTTCTTTGGGAAAAAAGGGCTGAAAAAAGCCCAGATAACAGGCCCAAAAAAGGCCCCAAAATGGGGTGTGCAGAAGCCAAAAAATGGCCAGCAGATGGGCAATATTTGGTGTATAAGACGCATAGACATTTTCACCCCTTTTTGGGGGACAAAAAAGTACATCTTATAGTCCAAAAAATACGGTAATTATATTGTGTTCTCCAAATCAGAATTACCAATATATAAATATATCAAAACTATCCGTAATCAGTTGAAAAGAAAAATCATGATTAGCAACAAAATCTATCTATATATTAGCTCAGCACGTCGCTTAACATGTAAGTTACTTCAACTAGTGTTATCAATTAAAGGTTTCCTATATTTTGTAAAGCTAGAAGAATGGTTAATTCTGTGAAATTAACTAAATTGAACTTTGTTACTGTATTGTTTCAGCATGTTGAATTTTTTGTGCTATGTTCCTGAAATAGATCATGGAAAGTTTAAGGATCTTAACAACTCATTTCTTTCCATTTGGGGCAGCCAAAGGGATGTAAGGTTAATTGAAGCATGAAAGCTTTAGGCCAGGGTTGTCAAACTCGATTTCATTGAGGGCTGCATCAGGATTGTGTTTGACCTTGGGGTGTGTGTGTGGCCAGTTTGCCATCACTTGTGTCGGGGTGCGTGTGATGGCCCGAGTGCTCTGCCAGCGAAAATGGACTCCCACGCTCCATTTTTGGTTGGGATGGCTTCCTGCAACCCACTGCCAGCGAAAACAGAGCTTGGGAGGGCCGCATGCAGGAACTGCGGGCCTTCACTGTTTCCAGGGCAGCCCCACGGGCCAGATCTAAGCACCCCACAGGCCGAATCCGGCCTCCGGACCTTGAGTTTGACACCCCTGCTTTAGGCAATTACTGTAACAGAAAGCGAAATAACATGGATAATTTTCATAGAGGCTGTGTCCGCCTAAGACATACTTCTAGTTTGCTTAAAGGGTGGCTGACTGATTAAACCATAATATGCTGTGCTGGCTCCAGCACATATACTAAAATTGGAACAATACAAATCGTAATATGCTGTGCTTAACAAGATTCATCTGCTTATTCATTTAGGGTTGCTATATGAACATAGCCATAGGATCAGCATGCAGTAGAAACATTGTTAGCAGTGTGAAACTGATTTTCCTTTTATTTCTTTCCTTCTGTTTAGGTTAAAGGTCCAGGAATTGGGGTGTTAGGACACTCCAAAGGGGGTGACCTCTGTATCTCCATGGCCTCATTTTTAAAAGGCATCACGGCAATAGCCACAGTTAATGGTTCTATAGCCAATGTAGCTACAACATTACGCTACAAGGATATCACCATTCCACCTCTTGGCACGAATATAAAACTAATCAAAATTGATCAGAATGGGATCTATGACATTATTGATGTCCTGAACAACCCACTTGAGGGTCCTGACCGCCAAAGCTTAATTCCATTGGAGAAAGCTGAGGGACGTTTTCTTTTTATTGTGGGAATGGATGATCATAATTGGAAGAGTGAATTTTATGCCAAGGAAGCTGCCAATATTTTACAAGCTCATGGAAAAGACAAACCTGTAATCATTTGCTACCCTGAAACAGGTCATTACATTGAACCTCCTTATACACCACTGTGCCCTGCTTCAGTCCACTTTTTGGTGGGCAAAACAGTGATCTGGGGAGGTGAACCCAGAGCACACGCAGCAGCGCAGGTGGATGCTTGGAAGCATATTCAAGATTTCTTTCATGAAATCCTCAGTGACAGCAACAGCAAACTGTGAATGAATTAGTTATGACCTGGGTTCAGCATGAATATTTGCTAAGCTAAATACTGGGGATGGGAGAATAATGCTGGGAATGGATATGAAATGAGGGCAAGAAGAAGGAAACTCAGGTGATAAATCCCATTTGAACATTGTTTATCTAGTCTTCAAATATTGTTTCTGCATTCGGTATTAAAATCCTGAAGATTAGAAATGCGATAAATTAAATTAAATTAAATTAAATTAAGACTGGGATCTGCATGCAAGCAAGAGCACCAGATGGTGGCCACAACTGATTTTGATTTATTGGTTTATTTAAATCTATATGGCCATCCCTTTTGCCACAGTGACCCTGGGTTATGAGCAGTTTAAATGGAAACCACCCTAGAAAACCCTAAGATACGTAATGCTAAATATATAATTCAAGTACAAACACCAGCGGAAAAGTCCTGGGATCCATTGGGGGGGGGGACGGGACACACCATATGCACACAATCGGGTTCAAAGCCCCAGCTCATTCCAAGTGACAACTAAATTCTTCAGCCAGATTGCACCAGACCTTCAGAAATAACCAGAGGCTTCCTTTGGAGCCCAACTGGGCTTGAATGAGGAACAGCATCAAGCACTGAGCCCACATTCTCCAAGAGTGACCTGCCCCTGGACTAAGTGCCTGCCTGCACTTGTGAATGCCTTAAAGGTAGCCCTCAATTTATGACCACAACTGAGACCAAAATTTCTGTTGCAAGACAGTTAAGTGAGTTTGCCCCATTTAATGACTTTTCATGCCACAGTTAAGTGAATCTTGTTAATAACATTTTAATAAAGTTAATAACATGGTTGATAAATGAATCTTGGCTTCTCCATTGACTGCTTGTTAGGTTGCAAAAGATGATCACAGGTCCCTGGGACACTGCAATCGTCATAAATACATGCAAGTTGCCAAGCATCCAGATGTGGATCACATGACCATAGGACTGCTGTGAATGTCATAAGTGAAAATCCTAAATTACTTTTTGTAGTGCCATTTGCAACTTCGGTCATTAAACGGATGGTTATAAGTGGAGGACTGCCTTTAATCTTCCCGCTCACCCTGAATTCCTCCCCAATAAGGTGCTAACCTCTCCCATCAGCCTGAGGGTCCCCTCCTCATTTTCCCAATTACCCACTTTTTATATATGTTGTAGGAAGTTCAGTCACATGGTCATGGACTTCACCTTGACTTGTTTTTGACATGCTGATTTTACTCTTCCAAATTAGGAAGAAAAATTATTTGTAGGTTCGAGTTGTGCAGGTTAACAGTTTGGCAATTTTGTCTTTAACTTTTAATGACTTTGAATTTATATAAAACAACCTAAAATAATACTGGCAAAGAAAATTAACTTTAAAAAATGAAATAAATATGGTGAAATAGAAATGTGCCCTCTTCTCTCCAAGTTGTTTTTAGCACAAGAAAGAAGAATAACTTTATATGAATGAAGAATTTGCTGTATAATATTCATCTGCAAAAATAATTAAATTGCACTTAAGAAAATGTATTTGCTGCTTCTGTCAAGGGCCAACTGGGGGAAAAGACCAATCATTTCATCATATTTTAGATAGTAAATAAAGGTTGATCGTATAAATTAACTCATCCTAAATTATACAACTCTGTTATGCAGAAAAATCAAACTCCCTACTACTGTGTTATGTGACTGGAGAAAACTGTTAATTTCTGGCTGCAGTCCAGTTTAGAAACTTTTCTATTTTTTAACTTTGCTCTAAATTTTTCTTACCTTGCTTTTAAACTGTTCTTATTTTTATTCTTACCAAATTTCATTACCTTTGTTGTTAAAATTAACAAGACAACATGCATGTTGCTGCTAAGTTAAAATGAGTTTAGAAGTTCAAGAAATCCTAAATCAATATTTGCAGATCCAAATATGTGTGATTCCTCGGATAATACTTTTTCTTTCTTTTTTCTGCACTGTTGGTGAAATGTTTCAAATGAAATAAAATTGCTAATACTTGGTTAAGACGTCTCCAGTTGTGTAATTCTTGTGGTCACAAAAGTTTGACTACCAGTTTGATGCGTTCAAATCCGACCTTGAACTCTCCGTTTCGGAAGCCTGATCTCTGCGATCGATTGCTACGGTCTCTCGCGTCTTAACCTGGAGGCTCTGACTGAAGAGAAGGGCACCGAGCTCTGCTTCTAGTCCCGACATTCAGCGGCTCTTGCAAGGAGTCCGGACATCCCCGGGGAGCTCGTCATGTGGCAAAAAGTCATGGGCAGAGCGTGGGATTTCCGCCTGGTGTTCTTGCGCGGGCCGGGCCACCCTTTGGGGAAGATCTTTCCGAAAAGCTACGACCGAAGGGGACTTATAACGATGTCGGTCACTCCCGCTGTAGGCTTGGCAGATCAGCCTGCCAAAGTGACGATCGAAGGACTCGCGCCTTTGCAGGGAGTGACGCTCCGGGCGCTAGTAGTGAACGGGCAGGGCAGCCTCTTCGACGCCTGCGCGCATTACCAAGCGGACCAGCAGGGGGGAATAGACCTGTCCAGAGATGTTTCTAAGGGTGGGGATTATGTCGGAGTTGAGCCCATGGGGCTGTTTTGGAGCCTGACCCCCGCTACCATAGAGAAGCCTTACCAAAGGCTGGAGCCCGAGGACGTGGAGAGTCCCGTGAAAGTGCAGATCACGGTGCATAAGGAATACAGCCAGCCCGGGACCATCCCCGGACAGGTGCTTGCTCAAACGAGCGTGGAAAGGTGGTTCACTCTTCCTGACGTGAGAAGGATTAGGTTGAAGGAAGGTGCGGTAAGAGGCAGCTTATTCCTTCCGCCAGGTGAGTAGAGGAGGAGAAGAACCTTCTTATTATGATGGTTCAGGCTCTCCCGAGTTAGGGCATTTCCTCCTATCAGTCTTGACAACTGATTCTGGACTTTTGCAGTCGCAGTCGAGGCAAACCAAACGGGAATAAGCAGTGGGACATTAGTGGCACAATATATATATATTACATAATACATATACATACATACATACATACATACATACATACATACATATATATAATACATATACATATACATACATACATACATACATACATACATACATACATACATATATATATATATATATATATATATATATATGTTGTGCCATATATATAGGGTTGATGGGCAAAGCTCAGGTATCTTGGATAAAAAAAGAAATATTATCCTTTCCATAACACAAGGGATTAAGCATGCGCTGAACTCTAACCCATGGCAGTCGTACCAAAAAGTCTTTTAAAATGAGCTTGTTAAAGACATTTCAATATTAAAAAAGGCAATTTTTTAAAATCCTGTTAATAATGTCCAGGCCCAACACAATTTGATCAATATCTACTCCTATTAGGGAACGGCCCATTTCCAGCTGTGATAGACATGTTTGGTGACGAAGGTGGGTTAATCGAATTCCGATCCAGCCTTCTGGCAACCCATGGCTTTGCAGCTCTTTCCTTGCCATATTTTAATTTTGAAGATCTTCCAAAAGTCATGGATGATTTCCGTCTTGAATATTTTGAAGAGGCAGCCAGGTTTTTGTTGCGCCATCCGAAGGTGAGTGATGTGAACAAAACTTCTCTGACTATAATACAATTTGCACCAAGGCAACATAAAAAAAGAATTCCAATGGATTCTGAATAAAAAAATTATGAGGAAACTAAGGAAAACTTACACAAATATCAGTCTTGTGTTTTGCCAGGAAATATACATCACTGTTAGGTGTTATGATCAAGCTTCCACATATTGATACAGATAACAAAATAATTAGTGCTTATATAAAGGTAAAAAGGTAATGTCCGACTCTAGGAAGCAGTGCTCATCTCCATTTCTTAGATGAAGGTTCCAGTGTTGCACGAAGTCATTTCTGTGGTTATATGGCCAGCATGATTACAGGCTGTGGTACATGGGATGCTGTTACCTTCCTGCCAAACTGGTACCTATTTATCTACTTGCATTTGCATTCTTTTGAACTGCTAGGTGGATAGGACAGTGCTTATATAGCCAGGTATTTTTTCTGGGCATTAAGAAGAATGAATGGGAAAACTTTACAGGAGGTGGAAAAAGTCAGAGGCAATAAAATTACTGAGAGAATATTGGATGTAAACTTATTTAGGTTTATAAGAAACCTGGTTTCTAAAATCTACTGTATTAATATTTTGTGTATGCAAAATTGTAATACTAAACAAATAGGTATATCAGTTCAAAATAGGATTTCATGTACTGATGTGCTTCTCAGTGATAATGCTTTCTATGTCAAAAGGCATACATTCATTTAAAATATTTTAAACATTTTTCTTTATGATGTTTTGTCAAAATCCTGAAAACCATTGTTTCCAAGAAAACGATGGAAATATACCTAATAATCACAGCATATTACAAAGAGTTAATCACACACAAAGATATCCATTTTCTGAACAAAGTAGGGTTGTTCTCCCCTATCCCACCCCTAACACAGGGATAGGGTACAGGAGAATAACCCTATTTTCCTTATACTTTTGCTCATACATTTTTTATTCAGAATATTTTGAAGAGAATTTGTTTAGGTTAGCCTTAAAAATAATTTAATATACAGGAATTTGTCTACCATTCTGAAAGCAGTATGCAGTATAAAATAGAAAAGCAACTTTTGAGGGAGTAGTTAGATATATTTTTTTATTTTGAAAAACATACATTATACCCGTGATGGCGAACCTATGGCATGCGTGCCACAGGTGGCATGTGGAGTCATATTAGTGGGCACGCCAGCTCAACTCTGGGGTGCATGCATGCGCCGGCCAGCTGATTTTCGGGACTTCTGGGCCCACCAGAAGTAGGGAAACAGGCTGTTTCCTGCCTCTGGAGGGCCTGGGGTGGGTGGGTGGGGAAGGCCCATTTTTCTTTCTTACCTGGCTCCAGATCCTCTCTATTTATCTGGGAAGGGCGAAAACAGCCTTTCCCACTCCCTTGGAGGCCCTATGGAGGCTGAAAGGCCCCATTTTCCAACTCCCGGTGGGACAGGAAGTAACGTTTTTTTGCTGTCCCCAGCCTCCAGAGACTCCTCCTAGAGACTCCTAGAGAGGCTCTGGAGGCTGGGGACAACAAAAAATATCACTTCCTGTCCCACCGGGAGTTGGGAAATGGGCTGTTTCAGGCCTTTGGAAGGCCTCTGAGGGAGTGAAAAAGGCTCTTTTCACCCTTTCCAGATAAATAGAGAGGATCTGGAACCAGGTAAGAAAGAAAAACGGGGCTACCAGGCCATCATGTGCCAGGAACGGGGGCGGGGGGTTGCGCGCACATGCACGTGGGCATGTGCATGCGCGACCTTCCCCCACCCCCCCCTCTCCTGGCACGCCATGGCAAAAACTACCACCAATAGCCTCCCACCGGCCAGTACGCTCCCATAGAGAGGGGCTCCTCCGGGTGCCGTCAGCCAAACAATGCCGACTGGCGGCCTCCAGACCTACTATCTGGAACGAGCTCCCCCCAGAGATACGGAGGATCCCGGATCTGCGCACCTTCCGCCGCGCCTTAAAGACCTTACTATTTCACCAGGCCGGCCTGGCCTAATTTTCCCCCTCTTTTATAAAAGATTTTTAAAATTTTAAACATCTTTTAGTATTTATATATTCAATTTTAAATTGGTTTTAAAAGTTTGGGGTTTTAAATTTGTCGGGGCCAATATTATTTAATTTGATTTTATTCTATTTTTAAATTTTGTATTGTATGTGTTTTTATTGTTTGGCTGTGCACCGCCCTGAGTCCTTCGGGAGTAGGGCGGTATAGAAATCTAATAAATGAAAATGAATGAAAATGAAAAGGTTAGCCATCACTGCATTATACAGTTCTATTATGAATATATTAAGCTTTTACTCATTGAGGTTTCTTCATTAACCAGTGTTTTTAACAAATTAGCCTGAGATCCTTAGTGGCATTTATAATAACATAATTTAAAGAATAAATGTCTTTTTGAAAACAATTAATAAAACATTTCTATTCTTTTTAATTCTGTTCAATAATTTAACCCATGCTATTTCATTCATGAAGGTTAAAAAATCAGGAATTGGTGTTATTGGAACTGGGAAAGGAGGAGAACTGGCTTTGTCAATGATGACCTTCCTTCCAGAAGTAGTGGCTGCTGTCTGCATTTCTGGCTGCAGCTCCATCACCGCCACTGCCCTTCATTATGGAAAACAGACTCTGCCTGGGCTTTGCTTTAATATGAGTAGGATTAAGATTTTGGACAATGGAATATTTGATATTTACGAAGCTTTGGATGACCCAAGGAATCCAGCCAATTCACAGTCCCGGATCCCCATTGAAAAGGCAGAAGGCCATTTCCTTTTTGTGGTTGGAGAAGATGATCACAATTGGAAGAGCTCCTTGTATGCTGAAATAGCTACTACATGCCTACACCAGCATAAGAAGGCCAATTTTAATCTCTTGAGTTACCCTGGAGCAGGCCATCGAATTAATCCATCTTTTTCTCCTGTTTGCCTAGTAGCTTTAGACCGTGTTCTAGGGGTGCCTATTCTGAGCGGTGGAGAGAACAAAGCTCACGCCCACGCGCAGGAACATTCCTGGGGAAAGATTCTTGAGTTCCTGAATTTGCACTTGAAATGAGACGAGCAGGCAGATGGTTGAACACTGAAACAAATTGAGAGAAAAAGGTTCCAAAGAAGATGAAGAAATAGTCAGGAACTGAGCAAGAAGGATGGGCAGAGATAATATAAAGTATATGCCTTGGGTTATATTATGAACAGATAACAAAATAAGGTTAGTTCAGATGGAGTGGCCAAAAGTATATTTTGTAGAAATATAATTTAGACTACTGCAGCGAAGAATGCCTTTGTTTACAGTGTTACAAATATCAGTTAACTCCTAAAACACTGCAACAAATTATACATAGCCAGCAGCACCAAGTGTAGCTTCTGCCATTTTGAGATCATAAATACAACTATTTCCTGCCTTCTGGCAATGTTATGTTTTTAGAATATAACTTCAGCACACATAGCAAGTACCGTATTGTTGCTTGAATAGAGAACACAAATGAGAGGTGGATATTATAATTGACAATGATAAATGAAGTCAACTGCAAAGGGTATTAGCCAATTTAATATGAAAAATGACTGGTTTTCTTTAGCTGCTAATCAAATTATACTGGCTTTTACAACACAGATACCTCTTTTCATAAGACACATTATAGCTTATGTGTAAATTCAGCAAAAATCAATCTTGCCAAAAGTGCCAAAATCTTTAGTTGGAATCAGATTTTTTAAAAAACAACGAAATTATATAAAGCATAGTACAGTTTCAAATTTTACTAAGACTGGAATTTGCAGTTTTAACTAAAATGTACTTCCAAAATATAAGAACTGTCCCATTAAAATGTTTAGAGCATGTCAGTTTTTATGGCTTGTTCATTATAGGGGTGTTCTATCACCAATCACTATAGTGAGAAAAACTATATATTTTATCTGCTCTGCATATTGGTACCACCTAAATTGACATTTATAATGATGCTAAAAATAAATTGTCAAACATTTAATGCTTAGTATGAAGTATTACTGAAACTATATTCTTTAAAATGTATTTTATTGCAATTTCTCAAACACTATATATTACTAAAACACTCTTGTTTGTATGTATACATTACCTGGATGAAACTGTGCATTGTAGGGCAACAATTTTTGAACTAACATTTTGAACTTCAAATGAGCTAATTTACAGAATGCATCCAAAATCCAGAACCTATGATTCCTGTGGAATTGAAATTTGACAAATTCTATAAAATATTTTATGATTTAATACAAAATATCATAAAACATTTCAAGTGGTCAAATCCTGATGTTTGACTGTGCTATACAGTTCAACATTAACTACTTTCAAGGCAGATACATCTCTGAATATCTCCCTGAATTTTAAAGAATTTTTCCAGTGAAGGCAATACATTAGAAACTCTGCCATTGTTGAAGGTATCTGGTAAGGAAATATCACTGAAACAATGACCTGATGGTTCACAGCTTGTCTAGTACTTTGTAAAATTACACCAAAGTTTAATAACTTTATGCACAAACATACTTGCTTTTCTACCGGGGAAAAAAACACATTTTCTAAAATCAAACCAGCAATTCTTTCAAATTGAAATGGGTACAATAACAGTGTGACCAAGAACAAATTATACGTAACAATATGTCTTATTCCCAAGTCATACCCAAGCTCAGAAAACAAAACATTCACAGGATAGTTAATGATGGCAAAGAAATTGGTATTGGTGAGTTCAAGCAAGCAGACATAATATTTTATTCCAGTTTAGGGCTCTGGAAATTGAACAAAACTGTGATGTACTGAAATTCAGTCCTATTTATTTGTTCAACTTAAAAGCTACCTCAGTCAACTATGTGCTGCACTGCATATTAAAACAATGAAAAAAGTAGAAAAAAGTATTACAAGTATTTTTTCTGTATCAGGAAAAAGCAATAACTAAAAAATCCCAATATCAGTTAACAGGACGACAAATTTCTGTGCGCTAGAACCTCCTGAAAGACCTACTGTTTAAGGGTCTTCAGTGTTATTTAATGTATATGATGTATCTGATTCTGATTAATGGATCTGGTAATTGGAAAGTGGTTGGCAAAAGTTTTGTCATAAATGTGTTAATATGCCAATACAGTAGAATACTGTTTTTCCTTGCAGCTGGAACAGTCCAATATAATTTCTGCTCTGGAATGTATTTTTAGTCAGCAAATGTTTCTTCAGCATTTTTGCAAATCAAGTGAAACACTATTTACATTCAAAGGCTTGATCTTTGAAAAAAATGATCTTTGCTTTTACTTTTGGGGAAATACCAGTATGTGACAGCATCGGATCACTGAAAAGCACTGAATTTCACTGTTAAGTAGCACTTAGCTGCCAGCTGCTTGCAATTACTGCAAGTTCAAATCTCACCAGGCTCAAGGTTGACTCAGCCTTCCATCCTTCTGAGGTAGGTAAAATGAGGACCTGGATTGTGGGGGCAATAAACTGACTTTGCATAAGCTGACTTTGTATAAAAAAGAACACCACTTGGGGGGGCCAAAACCCTACTAAGCAGGTATATACGAAAGTATGAAGGCTATTGCTTAACGCATTGTAAACCGCCCTGAGTCTCCGGAGAAGGGCGGCATATAAATCGAACCAATAAATAAATATTCAATGAATTAAGAGGATCATATCTGACCTATAAAAATCCGGACGATCATGGCATCAGAAAACTCCGGATTTTTAAATCCCAATCATGATATGTCTCGATGAACTACAATTTTTGTCCTTTCCTCCCTTGATAACGACAGTCACATTCTGCTATTGCTTAGGGCAGAGGTCTTCAAACCTGGCAGCTTTAAGACTTGTGGACTTCAACTCCCAGAATTCTCCAGCCAGCTATTCTGGCTGGAGAATTCTGGGAATTGAAGTCCACAAGTCTTAAAGCTGCCAAGTTTGAGGACCCCTGGTTTAGGGCTTCTACCCGCGCGTGCGCACAGATACGCTCATGCAATAAATCTCATTTTTTAAAAAAAAAAATCTAAACCGAACTGCTACCGTCAGAGTGGTTCAACGCCTCGAAATCCCGCTTGTGTAGGACGCAAAGCGTCCCCTCCTTCTCCCGCTGAAAAAAACAGAACGGGAAAACAACGCGCCTTTAGCAATAGGACCTTTCCCTCTCCCCCTCCCCCTGCCTCTAGGGGGCGACTGCCTGAGTGAAAAGTCCCTCTGTTTTCAGAGGGATCTCTATGATCCGGTTGTTGACTTTGCTTTTTGCTCACGTGTCTGCTCCACCTCCCCCGCCCCCCCAGTTTTCAGGTGAGCATGCGCGCGGGTTTCGCTTGCCATAGCAACCAGGGCTGGAGATGGTAGCAACTGGAATCCTAACAATGGTGAGTTCCTTCGAGGGCTACCGAGGGGGGGAAAGAAGAGAGGCCCGGGGGAAGATGAGGCGGAGGGAGGGGTTTCTCCTTTGGGAAGGGGAGTTGAGGGTCCCGCGTTGGCTGGCTGGCGGTAAGTAGTGGCAACAGTTTTTAGATAGTGTCGATGGCTGATGGAGAGAAGGGAAAAACAGCAACGGGAATGTTCTGGCAAGAGAGGGGGGGAGCTTTGAAGGGAGGAAGGAGTGAATGAGTGTCAGTCAGTCAGTTGCTGAAGCAACAGGTTTCGGACATTGCTGGAAAGAGGAGATTCCCTTGGGGGAAATGGGAGACCAAAGAGGCCTATGAGAAACCGGCTTGTGGAGTGGGAGGTACTGGAGAGTGTGAGTGCTTTTAAACGTTTTAGAGGGAAGAAGCCCCAGCAGGGATACAGCCCCACACAAGGGTACCATAGAGGAGCAAATGACCGCCATCAGTTATGTGAGTTGAAGTCTCAAACATCTCGCTTCCTCCTTGCAAATCTTCCCCCTTTACATCTACAGGTATAATTATTTCCTCTGATACTTCCTCAGATCAAAAAAAAGACAAAACAAAACACCTTGTGAGAACTGAAAACTGTAAACAAACAGAGGAGAACTGAAGCTTTTTTTAAAAAAGTGAAATTCGTTTTTTTAAGAAAACTAAAAAACAGGCCAGGTACCTCAAGAGTTGTGCAATTGTTCCATCAGCAACAACTAATTCCCCTTAGAACCCACTGCTGATGGAAAGTGGGAGAAGATTTGCTGATTTCTATCTCCCAGTTCAGCCTCCTGCGCCACTTCCTCCGCTATTCAAGTGGTCTGCTGACACTCTAGGAATTCTAGAACAAAAATCCAAATTTATTTATTTATTTGTTCAACTTGTATGCCGCCTTTCTCCGAAGACTCATAAGACTGCTTTTATGGAATCCCAGCTAGTATGTTTACGATAAGTGTAAAAGGACAGTGTTAGGCAGAAGGCACGTTTGGTTTACCCGCAGACATCTGCAGCAAGGATTTCAACCTATCATTTGATAAGCAAAATTTCCTCATAATAATGCAGCTATAAAGAAGGGATTTTGAGCATTAGGAATAAATTGTTATGTGGAAGGGCTTTTCATTTTATTTCTGTTTGAAAAAAATTCTGGGCTCAAGAATTCTTTAATTGGAAATGTTCATCTTATCCACAAAGTAGTAGGTAATTAATTTTTGAATAAAGCGACAAGATTTTTTTAACTTTTGCCTTTACTGTGGAGGTGATAGTTGAAACCTGATATAATCTTAATTTATTCCCATAGGCGGGGTGCTCATTTGAAGAGTGATCTGCATAATTAATGCAAATTAATCATAATCTAAGAGTTGTCTGAATATCGGAAGTCACCTTCAATAGAATGGTAAATAAATAATTTAAAATAATGACAGAGAATTTGCATTAAAGAGTTTGCCTGAAATTTTCCAAACCATACTTCTTAATATGTATCTACATGATAAATTTAAATATTGTTTCTCTGGCTTATGATTTAGTGTGTATTCAATATTTCATACATAGATTGACCAGTTATTCTTTCTTTTCACATATACATGACTATTTCTTTTTCTTCTTAAGAGGGATTAACATAGGTTTTTGTTGCAAGAGTATAATACTTAAAGCTACATGTAAAACTACTAGACTGAGCTAGAGAAGCCTTTTCATCTTGCGCTTTAAAAAACCTCAGTAAGCTCTTTTAAAGCACAGATTATCTGTTATAAATGAGTGACACTACATAAAATGAAGTTGTTTCATTAGCTGTTAAGAATTGGCAGTCTAGCCTGAGTAGAGAAAAAGCAACTTAACATGATGTAAAGTTGCTAAAATATTTTGTATTACAAATCATATCTTCTGACCTCAATTTCTTTTACTTTTTGCATAGCTACTTATAAACTCTTGACAAAGGAAGTATATTGTGCTACCATAGCTTCTATGCAGAATTATGCAATGTTTTTTTTCCTTTCACAGAAGTTTTCATTAGAGAGAATAGAAAAGTAGCAACATTTAAATGTAAAGAGTGAAAGCTTGCATCTCATGTACATAATGTTATCCTTTCAATGAATAAAAGCATCAAGAATAAATCATCAAGAATAAAGACTGACTATAGCTGTCATATCAATAATTCATAGGTAGTTTTATTCATGCTTTACTGAAAAGGTGTCATTTTCTTTAATATCTGTGAACCATATAGTTTTATCCTATATTACTTGATTGTCTTTATAGTGTTTTTATTAAATTGAATCACAATTTTCCATATAAAATTATAGCACTGTCAGATGAGCCCTATAAAATAAACAGTGTGTCAACTAATTTTGGATGATTTAAATGTAAGAAACAGCAGTGTTACAGTTTGATTTTGTATAGATTATCCTGAACATGAAGTTGGACTTACCTTTTCAGTAGGATTGTTACATGCTAAAATGTATTTCTTGTCAAAAATAAGATTGGAGATGAAAAATCCTGAAGGAAGAATTTTAGATAAAGACTCATTAAGTGTCGAAAGAAACCAAATTGCTAAACTGTCGCTCTAATAGGTCCTCTGATACCACCCAATGAAAAATCAGAAAACACATTGAATCATATAATTCATATCTTTCATTATTTCTACAGAACTCTCAGGGAGTGAGAAACTCAGGGAGTTTGAGCTTATAATACAGAAAGACAGATATGGCTGAACAGATGCAGCAATATTATGGAATGTACCTATACTGGGCACCATAGTTAAACGGTTGCAGAGACCTGGAATATTAACAGAAGGGCAACAGAGATTATCGTAGAATGAGAAACTAAATCCCATGAAGAGAGATTAAAGGAGCTGGGTTCCTTAAACCTTGAAAAAAGAAGAGTGAGAGGGATTATAATAAAATTTCAAATATCTCAATTACCAAAGTACCCAATTACCAAAGCAGTAATCAGCTTCCTCTTCTTGATTATGTTCAAACAAAAATTAGGCAGGCTTCTGTTGTAGATGTATATTCGTTTAGATTCCTGAGCTGAGGTATCATACTTAACAGGCTCTTTGTATGTTATGATTATTTTTTTATGTCATGGATGTTCTACTGGCATCCATTAGCTTATAGTTTACTCCAGCTGCTTTTTCTTGTATCACATGGACCTCCAGTAGTGGCCTTTTTGATTGTAGCCCATGGTGCTGTCTATTATAGCAAAAGTTCACAGGCAGTTTTTGCTGCCAAGAGATAGAGGGGGTGGGGGATTGTTTAAGGAGCAACAGCTGAGTTTGTTTGTTAAGTGAATAACATTAGCCTTTGACAGATTTTATTGTAATAGGTGCATTCATACAAATAATAAAAATAAGTGATGTGAGGCTGAGTGAAATTGTTAATAACAGTAGAATCAGTAAGTACCGTATATCACTATAAATAAAACCCATAGCAACTATTTGTTCAGTTCTTCCCAGTCTCTAAACACTTTTCCTCAGGCCCTGCTCTTTTCTGTATGTGCTGCTTTTGAATTGTTTGAAAAGAGCAACAACAGCTCAAAAGGCCCCATATTCATTAGATAGCATGAGGCTGGAGAGTAAAATAGAAAATCATCTACCAGTTCTGAGCCTTATAGCTCACATAAGATAAAATGAACAGGTTTTTCTTCTTCTTTTAAAAAAATTCCATTGATTTCAGACTTGTATAGATGAAGCTCATAGGATTTTTAATCTGGGACCAGAATAAAATCGTAAATACTCATTAAACTGATCCCCTCCTTGCTCCAGAGTTAATTTAATTAATATCAGTGTGGTTTACTGGTGAAGGCATTGGACCGGGACTGAAGAGACCAAGATTCAGGTCCACCCTCTGTCACAGAGCTCATTGGCTGACTTTGAGCCAGTCACCCTCAGCCCTACTTAGTTCAATCATAGGGTTGTTATGTGGGGAAAAAATGGAGTAGGGAGTGTTTTATATGACTTCATGAGCTCCTGAAGGAAAAGCAGGATATAAATCTTAACAGGCAAAGAAACAAATGATAAAGCCAGACAATTATCTAAGAGGGTTATATAAATCCAATATATTTTATTTATATGTTGTTGGGTTTTTTTGTTAGGCAAAAGCAACAACTATCAAGGAAGCTCTAGCCAAATGGGTAAGTAAGAAATACATTGTGTGTTCTTAATTATATGGATTTTCTTTAACAAGAAAAGTGATTTTCATTGTGCTTTTTATTTTTAGTTGATGCGAAACAGTTGTTTGCAAGGAACCCAGAAAAGCTATGTGATCAAACTTTTTAGCTTATTTAGTATTTAAACTGCAAATGTACTTCTGTGAAATTTAATTAATATTTATATAACACTATGAGCTGAAAAATGCCTCTTATAGACATTCCATAATCATTATATGAGAAATAAATACTAAAAATCATGTCAAGAACTCATAGAAATCAAGATTTGTTAATTCATAACAAAGGGAACACATATAGTGGATAAACAGACATGTTTGGGAAGGCTTTATTAAGAAACTGGGAAGAGGAGCAGTAAGTAAAATGGTTTGATTATTGGGCTGCATATCTCATAATAAGGCACAGAGAACCTTAGTGAAATTGAAGTTGTATAGAGCAATAAGGAAAAGGAGAAATATTGGGAATCTAAGTAAATGTGATTTAGTTAATTGCTCAAAGATGAAATGCTAAGAATGGGAATATGTAGAATAAGGATTTGTATTTTGTATCCAGCTAAGAATAAAACAGCCCCCGCCCCTAATCTATTGGAATATTCCATGTTGGTGGCATATGAGCAGATGAAAACTTGAAACAGTTTGATTGTGGTATATTGTGTTCAGGACAAAATTCCAATGTTTCAATGTCCTGGTCAGGTAAGGTGCTACAGCATTCCAAAGCTTAAAAGACAATTGATGACTTCTTCCATATTTATCTGTGGTTTACAATGGTGTGGACAATAATAGCATGACTCTTCAAGCTCAGGTTTGAAGACTGCCCTGCTAGCCTGCTCTTGTACCCAGTATGCTCACGGGATCCAATACTCCACTTGTTCCTTTCTATCACCTTCACAACCACCTTCTTCCTTTTTATCCTCAACCCCTAGGTGAAAGTGGATTAAGTGGATAAAATTTCAGTCCAGTATTACTTCAGTTTGTGTGAGGGAAGAGCTTTATTCCTATTTTGAGCTTTGCATTCAGCTTCACTCTTTTAATAGGTAATAGCACACAATTCCACAGGAAGAGCTGTCATGCCGTTAATAACCAATTTCCTTACTGCTGTCATCCTCCCTGTCCTTTGAGTAGTGAAGCCTTATTTGGCCCTCCTCCTGACTATCATCCTCCTTCCAAAAGCTCTTGTCCTTTTCCCGTAGTTGTTTAGGAGAGTCATTTTTTTATAGAGGAGATATAATGGATGGAAATCGAGGTAAGTAGAGGGGAGTTTTTAAAGGTTTAAAAAAGAAAAAAGTCTTTATAAAGTTTGTGATTGCATCTAAGAAGCAACATAGCAGTGGTATCACTATCTCTGTGCAGGTAATTTCTGATTGGAAGAATTAATTCCATCAAACACATATAGAATTTTTTGTGTGTGACAGGGAAAGAAAAGTGTCTTTCAAAACATGAAAGGGGGATGAGGAGAGTCCTTTCTCCTTATGTTGCTTTGAAAAGATGTCAAAACTCAAAAGGAGCATACTTGATGGGGTTGTGTAAAGGCTGCCTCAGAGGTAGACATGCTCTCTAGCTTCAGAAGTAGCAGCCTTAGAAGTAGCAGTGCTAGTATTGAAATCAGTCTAGTTGCAAGTCTTAATCCTTCTCCCTTAAATCTTTAACTAACAGCAGTTTAATGCTGGCCTGAGCTACTCCACAGTTACCATTCCATACCAAAATTCAGTCCAGCCTAGGGGAAAAAAACCCCTAAGAATCAGACTCAGTGCTTAGATTGAGAAACATGATAGCATATCTAAAAGGAGTTCATTTCTTTTTCTCTGAGATTAGAATGAATATTCTCTAAATTTTGAGGAAGTTGTTGTTTGTCATTCTTTTTTACTTCAGGAAGAAAAAACTAGTCAGAAGCCATCGGAGGCCAAAGAAGTGAAACTCTATGCCCAGGTTCCCCCTATAGAAAAGATGGATGCTTCTCTTTCCACTCTTGTTAACTGCGAGTAGGTCCTGAATACTAAAATAAATGTATCCTGGGTTGTTCGTGCTTTCAACAGTACAGTTTGTCCTTATTTAGTGATAATTGAGACTGGCAACTCCATCATTAAGCAACTCTATCAGTCACTATGTGGGAAATTACATGACTGGGACCAGTAGTGGGTTCCTCCCAGTTCCGCCGAGCTGGTAGCGGTGACGATACGATGTCACCGAACCGGTTCTGCTCCCCCCGTTCCCCCCGCATTATTCTTACCTTTTATTTGGCCCCACCCTCAATCTATTGCTGCCTCCTGAGTCCCAGCTGATCAGCTAGAAGGAAAAAAACTGTGTAAACTCTTGCTGCAGGGCTTCAAAGGGCCGCCCTACAGCTGATCAGTGTTAAAAGGCAGTGTGGTGGTAGACCGGTGCCTCCAAAAACAAATGAGTAGACCGGTTCCTGCAAAAACAAATGGGTAGACCGGTACAGCTCTGCAAGCAGTTAAAAGCCTGGTAGACCAGTACTTTTGCTAAATCCTAAAGAATTGTCACATGACCATCAAGCCACGCCTATACCCACAGAACCGGTAGTAACAAATTTTAGAACCCACCCCTGACTGGGACTGTGCTTTCCTTTTCCTGCTCACTGGGCAATGTTCCATGTTCAGCTTGAAACTGCAAGACTAAACAGTGTTACACCTTCAGTTTTGCTTGCCTCTTAACTATTCCTTTGCCCTTTGGAATGTTAGCTCCAACTGGAATAATTAACAAAAAGGGAATTAATGTTTGTATTTACATTGATTGGAGAGGAAGGGATTACAAGAGAGTAAGCAAGCACACAATGGGAAATACATTGAAAGCAGTGTTGTTATTTTATTTTTTAAATTGATTTGCCACCTACCTCATCATGGGGTTACTCGAGGCAGCAAATAAATTTAATGCACTGATGTTGGCAACTGCAAATGTAGGATAGAGAACATCTAGAGAATTCCTCATTGTGGCCCTTCTTACTCTCTTGGAATCCTTTCCTCTCCAATTTCTTCATTCTTCAAGAGGAGAGGAACTGGTCTGGCACAGGAGAGATTGCTGTGAGAAATAGTTGATCCCCCCCCCCGCCCCAGAGAGGTTTCCATAGGTATATTTTGCCACAGGATCACCCTGTCACCCCATCCGATTTCTCAGTTTCAACATTAAACTTTTTTTTTAACATTATACTCTCTTGAACAACTTTATAATGTTCACAAGGCTTAATTGATATGCCACATCATGATTTGAATTAATCATATTAAAAACTGAACTGTGTTTTCAGTTTTGAAATGTAGAAGTTTTGAGCTATTTGCCCTTTAGTCTATATTGAGCAATTAGCTTTCAGAATCAGTGCCACAGTGCCTCTTCAGTTCCTGTCTCCTCCCCCAATAATAATTGTCACAAAGTGTTTACAAATCTTCAATCGTTACAGAATTACAATTAATATAAAATCCTCTTTTTTCTTTGTTTCAAGAAAACTGTCTTTATCTACAAATTGCATTGAAAAAATTGCGAACTTAAATGGGCTAAGTAAGTAATAATGAACAGATTGCATCCTTTCTCAAACTTATGTAAACCACTATTCTAGAAATGTAGCTTGTATATGTCACACTTGCTTATGCCACTTTATCAGTTTTGTTCCTCTTTCTATTTATAGAAAATAATTATTATTGTATGTATTTCATACTGCAAAGATAGGAATGTATCCTTTTTAGTACACTATATAAGCAGTTTATAGCTCTCTTAAATATTCAGTTGAATAGAAAGTTGGGATATAAATTGGATAAATAAATTTTAAAAAGTACTGTTCCCATAATCCTCAATGAACAGATTTTTCTCCTGTGGATTGATTCAGGCTGATAGTCATAACTATTCTTATTAATCTGTCGTACTGTGCAGCAAAATACAGAATTAATTTTAAAATCAAGCTTTATTTGAAAACAATATAAGCAGTAGAATATTATGTTGATTGGGTTTATTTGAGTACTGATTAGAGTATAGCTTTTTGCATTGATAACCTTTTGCATGATTTGAAATAGTAGGCTTGAAGCATTGTTGAAAAAAAGTTTGAGTATTTTTCAAGATATTCAATATAATTTTTTTCCACTTAAAATGAATTGATTGTTTTTTAAAAATATTCCCCTCAATTGTTTTAACCTCTTGGGAAGCTTGTCATCTTTAAAGCTTCTAGCTATGTCATGAATCCACAAATGCACAATTCAGTGTGCTAATGAGGAAGTTGATTATTTTGGCTCATTACATGAGTTGAATTTATGGCTCTCTGAATAATAATCTGTTCAAAGCATGAGAAAGATTCAGGAAGTGTTTCGGAAAACTCAACTACCTGTTAATTCCTCTGTTATTTGCAAAAAGGAACAGCCAGCTCTCTGGCTCACAATGAAGCCATTAACAAGAAAGTGAAAAAGACTCTCTCTTAATGAAATATAAGATAATTGGGCTCTGTAATTTAAGTACTATAATACAGTTGCTTTTAGTAAATATTGTTAAAGTAGCCTGAAAACCTTGGTTTTCATTGAATCAGTTACCAAAAGCCTAATAGTATGGTTAAAGCAACCACAAGACGTTTCTAAATAGCATCTGTTCAGTGCTGAATATCTATTTCTATTCTGTTTTTTAATTCAAATCCTTTTTCCTTTTACAGTTAGATATAGTGGGTAAGGCACCAGGCTAGAAACTGAGAGATTGCAAGTTCTAGTCCCACCATAGATAAAGGCATCTGGGTGACTTTGGGCCAGTTTTTTTCTCTCAGCCCTAGGAAGGAGGCAATGGCAAGCCACTTCTGAAAATCTTGCCAAAAAAACTGCAGAGATAGTAGTCAAAGGTAATCAATCCACACATTCTTTGACCAACTGGACTGATATGCGTTATTCTTAGGTATCATGTGCTGGGCTTTTATTTATTTTTTAAATGTATATACTGTCCAATTCTCAAAACTTTTGGATGGTTATAGTATTTCTTAACTAATAATGTAGAAAAATAAGCGTGTTTCTGTTACAGAAAACTTGCGGATATTGTCACTGGGAAGGAACAACATAAAAAATCTGAATGGGCTGGTATGTTATCTTGATGAGATACTTGTTTCTCATAATAATAGTAAGAACATCAGTGCATGTAGTGGATATTAGTTTGTTGGGACAAATATTGAATAAAATCAACAATACTGTGTAAATTAAAAAAAAAATTGAAGAACTATAGATTCTCAAAGAATTATAAGATCTCTACCTCATGTCAAGAGGATATATGAGGTTTTTTACAGCTGATCATGGTCATTGATAACACCTCACTAAGTAGCCAGATTCACTTAATGGAACTTCACGAGAAGGGTTTCAAAATATACCTTAAGGTCCAGTTACAACTGGCAGCTAAGGCAGATAACAAATAGTTTACATAATCATTTGATCAGCTTGTTCCATTTAACATTGCTGCCATATGGGAAATTTCATACGTGTTTTTTTTTTAATTTGATTTATATGCAACCCTTCTCCGGGGACTCAGAGCGACTTACAATGCGTTAAGCAATAGCCTTCATACTTTTGTATATTTATACAAAGTCAGCTTATTGCCCCCACAAACTGAGTCCTCAATTTACCTACCTTAGAAAGGATGGAAGGCTGAGTCAACCTTGAGCCTGGGGAGATTCGAACTAGCAGTAATTGCAGGCAGCTGGTGTTAATCACAATGCTATCAGTCTGCTGAGCCACCAGGCCCTTCTTATGTAAACCACATTGTTCACTGCATTGTAATAATTCATCCACGTATTGCTAGAAAGCAGCAGCAGCAATCTATCAAGACAAGGTCACAGTATATCTGCTAAATTGTTAAATGGTGCATGATAAATATGTATGTCTGCACCAAAATAATGAAATCAAGAGCACTTATACTAGGAACTGATTTTTAGGGAAGTACAACTTCTCTGAAGCACCATTATGTATCTGGATTGTTTATTGTTCTTGCCCAGTCTATCGTTCTGCTGAATTCTAGTTTAGAATACCTTCTGTCTCATAAAAATTAGGTTATTTCTTGAAACAAATTAGTATCTTAGTAGATCATAACTCTCAAATATGCCAGTTTAGAACAGGCTAAAATCCCAGTGAAGCTGCCTGACATGACTCTTGCCTGATTGGTGAAATCCAAAAGGCTTTGAAATCTGTGGATCCCTCTTATTATCCCCATCCCAATTTGGGAATATAAAGAATGAGGATTTGATTTTTCTTTCAACTCTACTTTGTCATTTTTGTATTTTAGATTTACCTTAATCTATGCTCTGGTACTATGGAAGCAAAGATTGTACTTTGGGGGGGGGGGGGCTTTTTTTAACTTAAAAGCTTCTGATGGTAATAGAACATTTTTCCCAGAATATTATTGTCTTTCAGGAAGCAGTTGGGGATACGTTAGAGGAGTTGTGGATCTCATACAACTTGATTGAGAAGTTGAAAGGTCTCCATGTGATGAAGAAGCTGAGAATTCTCTACATGTCCAATAATCTGGTGAAAGATTGGGGTAAGGCAATGTCATTGTGTCTACTTTGAAACATATTCATCATTTTACTAGGGTTATACTCAATAATTTATGTTCTGATGCAAGGATTTTTATCTTAAAATAAGTTCACAAGTACCCTTCTGCACCACAACCATATTTTTATTTTGAAAGGTCATAATCCACATATAATATGTAATAAAATTAAGTGCAAACCAAAGGAGGAGGATATATAGAAATTATTTTCTGTCATTTGCTCAGTATTCATGTATATTTATATTTCATATATGCTTTGCTATTGTTGAATTCATACAAATTTGAATTTGTATGCTATTGTATGAATAGGTAGCTATTTGCTTGTGCTTATGTATTCCATGCTTAGAAAGTATAGTATACCTATTTATAAATATAGATAAATATATAAATATACCTAAAACAAGATGGATTGATGACATCAGCAAATATTGTGGGCTCAATTGGCAAAAGAAAGCTCAGGATCATATAGTTTGGAAACATGCGGAAGAGGCCTTCATCCTGCAGTGGACAGACAATGGCTAAAATGATGATGATGACCTATTTATAAACTGGCATTGCGTGTTTTCTAATTCCGATTAATAACGTAGCAGTTCTGATTTTACTTTTTTTAATGTCACTATATAAAATAACAGAAAATTGTATACATACAACTGAGTTAACTACCCTGTTTCCCCTAAAATAAGACATTCCCTGATAATAAGCCCAATAGGACTTTTGAGCACATGCGCTAAAATACCTCCCCCCCCCCCCCCGAAAATAAGCCCCCCCCCAAAATATTTAAACTCATGCACGGCCATCCCCGCCATTTCCTCTGGTTAAGGTTAGGGAGACAAAGCTGGAAATCAAGTAAAACGGCAAGAGGAGCACCATCTTGTTCCACACGCCCCAAAATAATAAGATATCCCCGAAAATAAGGCCAAGTACTTATTTCCCGGTTCAAAAAAATATAAGACGGTCTTATTTTCGGGGAAACACGGTATATGATATAACATTAAAATGAAGGAAAATAATGAGATTTATAAACTGAAATATTTTTTAAAAAATGATCAAATTGCTTGGAAATGCTTTACCTTGTTCCTTTATTAAAATAAGACTAATTTGATAGTTTGAGAGCAAGCTTGACATAATGGTTAAGGCACCAGACTTTGAACTAGGAGACTGTGAGTTCTACTTCCACCTTAGGCATGAATCTAGCGAGGTGACTTTGGGCTGGTCACACAATCTCAGCCCTAAGAAGAAGGCAAGAGCAAACCAGTTTGAAAACCTTGCCAAGAAAACTCTAGGGCAGAGGTCTTCAAACTTGGCAGCTTTAAGAATTGTGGACTTCAACTCCCAGAATTCTCTAGCCAGCTATGCTGGCTGGAGTATTCTGGGAATTGAAGTCCACATTAGTCTTAAAGCTGCCAAGTTTGAAGACCTCTGCTCTAGGGATTGGTCCAGACAGTTGCCAGGAATTAACACTGACTCAAAGGTACACCAAGGAAGGTTGGAGGGGGGGAGAGATTTGATCAACAATGTGTACCAAGTTCATATTTATCTTTTCAGTATTGTATAATAATTTTTGTCATTGTCCCACTTATGAAAATTCCATGATTTTTAATATCTTAATTAATTCAAAATACTGGGCATAAAGCCAAGAAGAATTTGTCACATAAAGATTGGGTTAAAATTGCTAACTGCTTGGATGTTATCCAGAAATGTGGAAATAATAGGACAAACCTAGCTGAACAACGTCTTTGAATGTTCTAGTTTCTGAATTGCATCTCTAACAAGGAAGCCATTGCAACCAACCTGCTTTAGGCATTCTCTGCAGTACACAGTACAGGCTGACTCTTTTTTTGTTTGTTTGTTTATTCTTAGATAGAGACTAATTTTTTGATTTTCAAAAACAGCAATTCATTATTTCATATTGTTTCAATATAATTTTCATCAAATTTCTTCAACTTTTTACAAAAGTATGTTGTTAGTTTAGAAGCCTCAATGAATTCCTCCAAAATCTCTTAACAAATGCAAAACTTAAGATGCAGCAATAGTATCAATCCCCGGCAGTCCAAGTACAATTTGAAATTCTCTGAGGTCAGTGAAATGGTTTCAAGTTTTACAGAAGTTTTAAAAACTTATTCATTAGTCCCAACTAATATTTAGAGAAACCAGTCTATCCAGAAAATGGATTCATCCACTATTTTTATAGTTTGTTTTGTTTGTGCCTTTGAATCAGTCTTGACACCTGGCAACTGCCTGGACTAGACCCTGCAATTTTTTTGGCAAGCATTTTTAGAAGTGGTTTGCCCTTCCCTTCTTCCTAGGTCTGAACCAGAGCAACAGGCCCAAGGATCACCAAGCTGGTTTTGTGTTCTAAGGCAGGAACTCAGTCTCCCAGCTTCTCCCTTGGTGTTTTTGGCTACTACACTAAACTGGCTCATTGTGTGTTGCAGTTATCTTATAACGTTAACTTGACTATTGATTATTGTACACTACCCAGAGTAATTTCTCATGAGACGGACTGCTATATAAATTTGATTAATAAATTACTTAAGAAATAAACTTCAGAGTAAAAAGATTAAATTGTATCAGCAGCACAATGTGTTCCATACACATCTATCTATTAACATTAAGTGCAGCTGTGGATTTTCATTTGTTGTTAAGTGAAAGTTGTGTGTTCTATAATCTTCAAAGCCAGCTCCACGTATGCCATTTCACCTGATAATTATTAGAAAAGAAATATCTGTACCACATTATCTACATTAGCAGGACTGCACCACCTGGAACACCATATTCTAGATAGTGAGATATATTTGTGTTATAAATGCAGCTGATCTAGCAACCTCTGATCATTTACCTTGGGACTGCAATTCTGATGAGGTGCACAAACATTTTCATGAGCAGATAGTAACTTTTAGGATTGCAGAGTGCTTTGAATTTCAAGAGTACTGCTAGCATTCCCATGCTTGCTCTGAAACATTTTTGGGTGTGTGTTTTAGAGTGACCGTACATATGCAAGCGGTATCTGTCAACAGCACCAAACCCCAAAGGTGATTTTTCCAGCTGTAGAGAGTAGCCAGGTAAACTTGAGGAAAGACACAGCGGCTTTAACAAGTTGTTAACAGGTGAATATGTGAGGAGCCACACAGAGATCTTTACTGAAGTAGAACATTGTTTATTAGCACTTTATCTACCTCATTGATTAATACATATCTTAATTTTATAAAAAAAATAATTTCTGTATTTGATTGAATGGCACGACTGTTTGAGAACCAGAACTAGAAACCTGGAAAGTTCATATCAGAGGTAGTTAAATATTGCACAGTAAGTGAATTAATCTCTTAACATCTCTCTGTCCTTCTGACATGGGCATTTGGTAGAAGCCATGTTAAGCCACACATCATGATATTATCATGCAGATAAAATAAACTCTGTAATTTCAATGATGATATAATGACTCTCCCTGCAGGCTCCCATTCTTTTGGTTTTGAAGTTGGGAATTTTTTCTCCTTCATAATAATTTTTTCTCCTGATTATGTCTCTTTATGGATGCAGCAGAGTTTGTGAGGTTGGCAGAGTTGCCGCTACTGGAGGATCTGGTGTTTGTAGGCAATCCACTGGAAGAGAAATACTCTGCTGATTCACAGAGTGCCTGGGTTGAGGAGGCAACCAAGCGAGTGCCCAAGCTGAAGAAACTCGATGGTGAGAACTGAGGAGAAATAGCATAGCATTAATAATTGAGTCAAAAGTTCATATGAAAAGTTAAACTTGGGAAAGACCAGTTCAATTGTGAGCATTCATTTTGAGTATTTTGAAAAGTCAAATTATGGTAAACATTTTTACTGGCCCTTTTGGTCTCAACCAAATTATTCAGCAAAGACCTATAGAAGAGATAAACGAAAATCTGTAGATTTTATTCCTACCAAATATTTGTTTTCAAAATGAAAATACTGTGATTTAATAGATTGTTGCTATTAAAAACATTACAAAAAACTGCTGTAGCCACATATCATCAGTGTTAGAAGAGAGAGGAGATAAATTAAGCATGTTGGAAATAAAGACTACCTCCCAATAGACACTGATGTTAAAAAACTGGTTTTATCTTAGGCTTTGGAATAATTTCTCCCCTGTATCCTTAATCTGATCTGAACATATGTGATGATATAAATAACATCATGGGAGAATTGGTGGATCCATTAGTAAATTCACTGAAGTGGGTTGGGCAATCATTTGTTTTACTATTTTTATGCTAATTTTTAATTTAGTTTTTCAGTAATAATTTTAAGAAAAACCGAATCTAGCTAAGAATTCCTTTAAATTCTTGTTAACAATCTTTACAAAATGATTTATGGTTATGAGTCTTCACACACAGCACAGGGTTGAGGAATTGGAAATGATAGGGAAAGAAAATGGAAGAAAATGCAATAATGATTGTTGTGATTTATGTATTTATTTATTTTAGGTATCCCGGTTATAAAACAGGAAGAAACGGAAGAAGCAGAAAACTAGCACCTTTTCTTTCACATTAAATTATTGATGTATCTCCAGCACTATATAGGATGTCATGCTTTTGTATAAATATGTCTTTAAAGAAAAATTTAGGCAACATTTTAACTGATTCATCTCCATGTTCTTCTCACCCAAAGAATTCTTACTTTTTTATTATGAATTTTTACTTTTTATTTAATACCTGGAGGGTTTTTTTGCAAGTGTATGATTTTTTTAAAGAGCAGGTTTCTATAAAGCACATGTTAAATAGTTTTCTCTAATCATTTGAGAAATGGCAGAGGAGTTCTATATACAATAGTATGGCTTTTTAAAAATATCTTTCTTTTAAAGAAAGAATTCAAATAATGGTATGCTTTAACATTTATCAAATGTCTCTTGTTTTTTTCTCCTGAGTTAATATCCAGTATTAGATGAAAGAGTGAAGGCAGTTTCTTTGTTCTAAGTGAAGTATTTCTCTCCTCCTTTGGTTTAATATGCTGGCTGAATTTTCCTTTACATTCTTTGTTTTAAGCAACATGAAACTCTTAAGCAAAGGTTTTGTGCTGATTATATGTTGCAGAATGGCTGAAGTCCTTTATTATTTTGGAATCGGAGTAATCTGAGAAGAGAAAGCAGCTGTCAAAAGAAGTTGAAACATAGCATAGTGTTCAAAACTAAGACTCCATTTTAGTAATTGATAAATGACAACTGAAGAAACAGTTGTCCTGACAGGAAAGAAAGAAGAGAAAAGCAATAGTGCTGTAGGATATATAGTACACGTGTTCCAATGCAGATTATTTTTTTGATAAAGAAGACCATAAGTCTTCTCACTTTGTCAAAGCCTACTCCCTCCCTAGAATTTTTCCCTGATATGACTGGACATTTTAGTCATTCCTAAAGATGGAAAGGAGAGAAATAAAGTAAGGTGTTACTATTTTGTTGAAGGTAAAATTTAATTTTATAGGGGCTTGCAGCAGTTTTTCTCTGCTCTGATTTTTTTCTACTTAAAAGTATTGGCTCTGACAATCCATTTCTCAGCTAACAGATGACAGGCATTCAAAAAAGGAATGGAACTGCAACACTCTGCATAGTTATATGGCAATAAACACTATGGAATACAGCGGGGCTCCCTTCTTTTTTACACAAATGCTGAGCCTTTGCCCAGGAATATTTATTCTTTAGCCTTTGGATTTATCCTAATCATTTAAATGTGGCAGTTGGTTAATATGATTACCCCTGAGATTCCACTCTGTCTTAAATCGATGTATTTATGAGGCATTAAGAGAGTTATTACTCTGAAAGAATTTTACGGTTCAGATTTTTTTGAAGAGGAGAGTTCCTTACTATTTTAGGTTTGGTTACTTCAAAGAGCAATCCCCCAAGATATTTCACAAAGCTTCACTCGAGGTTCAATGGAATTGTTCTTGCACATCCACAGATTGGATTTTTTTTTTTAAAAAAAAGAACTTTCAGATAATTTGATTTTTACTTTCATCCTATTTATATTTAATCTTATTTGTTTCTGTGAATCAATCCATGTAAATGCATCATTTTTAACAAAGATGTTTATATGTTAGGTTTAGTGCTTGGCATTGTTTTTCTAATATGTTCTCATTAGTATCTTTCTTGTTGTCTTCACATTAGGCCAGGTGTAGGTAATCTTTTGTTGGCCAGGAGCCCAGCTGAATGCTGGGGAAGAGGTTGTAAAATGAATGGAATATTTCACATAAGTGAGCAGAATTATGTTCAGGGTTACAGAGAAGAGTACTAGATTTGAAAGGCAGCTATGAACTGAATAAACAGATGTTTTAGGGCTTATCCTACTGTACAGGTGTTATCTTTTCTTATTTCAACAAATGGGAAATGATGCTATCAGTTTTCATCAATCATGACAAGCTTTAAGACACTTTAGGGCTATAAAAAAAGGCCAGATTTCACTATGATGTCCTTAGAGGTTGCGCAGCTCTGCTTTACAAAATAAGTCTGCTTGGTTGCAGTAGAAGTTACTTCTGAGTAAACATGCATAGGATTACACTGCTTGCAACTGGGGAAGTTTATGAACAGATAAATTATTATTGTTCTTGATGTAGAACTTTTTTTTTTGTTGACAGTTTAAAGTAAGGTACTCTATAAAGCATTGTGTTCCCAGAGCAGTGATTGTAATTATGTACATCATCTTTGCGTCTTAGCAATAGATTTTTCTCTTGGTACCTGTGAGGCAGGAGAAACTGGTGAACTAATTAAGAGTTGTCATTTCTGGGGTACAAAAATTGGAGCTGCAAATATTGGGGCATTTGCTGGATGACAACAAACATTCATAGTATTGTGTATTTCTTTCCTGCCATCTACTGGTCATCCAGAGTTTTGCAGCCTGGATAACCTTTAACTGGGCAAAAACAGTGCCATGAACAAAATTCAAAAGTATTTCAAGTGGGCTAACATGAAATTCATCCAAAATCTGGGACACATAACTCTTGTGGAATGGATATTTGACAAGTTTTAAAAAATGTTTTATGACACAAACATTATCCTAAAGCACTTATGGCATAATACAAAGTATCATAAAAAATTTCTGGTCCTGATGTTTGACTATGCTATACAGTTCAGCATGGCTGTTTTCAAGGCAGAAACATCTCTGAATGTATCCCAGCTTTTCCAGTGAAGGCAGTGCATTAGAAGCTCTGTCATTGTTGAAGACATTGAGAAATCTGGCAAAGAAATTTCTCTGAAAGGATGACCACCACAGGCCACGGGTTGCCTATGGATTGGTTATTATAGTATGAGTTTAAGAGGCTGGTTCTCTGCAAGGATTTGCTCTTGAAGCATTTAGTGCTTGGAATTAAGATAAAGTCAGGGTTCTTGCTAATGAAGGGTCAAATGTCCAGTCACCTCCAGGGGATCTGGTAGGCAGGCAGCTCTAAATGCCAAATTGGTTCTTTTAACCCCATTCTTGGCATCCCTCAAATGGTCAATGCGTTTGAAGGGGAAAGTCATCAAAATGTTTTGACTAGCAATTTTTGTGGAATTTGGTTTGAATTCAGCTTAGCATTCTCTTTGATGCTGATGGTATAGCTAGTATATTAACCATGCAAGTAATGTCATAATCTTAATAATAGAAATCTCAATACTTTAAATAATATTTTTTCTCTTGAAAACAGTTTTTCAGAGAGAGTTCTGTCGTTTCACCTACTTCTTGTCATTTGGGATCCCTCGTGTACTGTCAGTTGTGTGTAATTGTATCTGGGAAGTAAGATGAAACACATTTCCTGGCAAGGAAATATCTAAAATGAACAAGGCCAGTAACTAGGAGTTAATCTATAATTGTTCAGAAGCCAGCCATGAAAAACAAAATTGTTATAGTTTTTTATAAACATTTTATAATACTTTTTTGAAGTGTGATGAGATACTTAAGTTTAGAAGTAGGTAATAGTAATATGACAGCACATCTTTCTTTAGCAAATAGTATCTTAGTAAAGAATTAGTGCCTTTCTTAAAGAAACTTATTGATAAGCTGTTATGGCACTGGTATTTCTTTTAGGTTAGATGGAAATCCTTTACTATAACCAGCATTATTATTATTTTTGTTGCTTGGCTTCCAATTATACTTCTTGTGCCCTTTGTGTCAGCTGGATTGCTGACATAATCCTAATATCATTTACTATAACATTTAGAGAAAATTCAAAATAGAAATTTAAATGGAGGAAAATGAGGTGTTTGACAATTTAACTGTTCTGTCTCTTGCAGAATGATCATGGATGATCAACAGGCATAATTTTTTAAAAGAACAATTAATAGGCTTTTTCATATTAAATAATTAAGATATATTTATAAGTTTATTTTTGGTATGCTTATAGAAAAATGTGATTGTGACAAGCTTTAGTGATTTGCTCAATTTCCTGTTTCATTCAGCCAGTACTAATTGAAATGCTTGCTTGCATAGAAGTTGGCTCAATTTTATACTTTTTAAGAACGTTGAATTGTACTGGTGTCTCCAGACCCATAAACAAACTCATAGGTTTGCTGCAGTAGGGAAAAGGAAAAGCAAAGGGAATATTTTTGCATTTTAGATTTTAAAAATTGTAAGGCTGGCAAGAGCTTGATGAAATAGATGTATATTCCATTTATACATATTCAGTGTACAACAGATTATACAGTGCTGCACTGGACTGCACTATAAGATGTAATTCATAAATAAAAAAGTAGTGATACTTGTGGAAAAACCTTTTTAACAATACCTAAATTTCCAAGGAACAGTATAATTGGAAGGCATTCACCATGATAATGTGTACAATTATAATAAAAGTTTTATTTAATGATAATATAGCTTCTTTCAGAAGGAAAGTGAGACTTAAGAGTTGGAATTTGAAATGGAATGATTTCTCTTTAAAGATATGAATTACAATGAAATCTACTACCAATTTCAGTGCCATTTCTTCCACAACCTAGAAGATGCAGACTACACAAAGGAGCTCCTAGGAACCTATGTAAAAATAGGGTTAGTAATAGAGAACTTCTGACTGCAGTCTTTGCCACACATCTTTCCATTTTAGTCTTCTTGAAGGCTACACCAAATCTTGTAGTAAAAGATGCTTCTATAGCACGTTATCTTTTATTTTGCTAAATGACAGATAGATGGCTCAGCATGACCTGGAGTGTCTTTTCCAAATTACATATAGAAGAGTTTCTTTTTTAATAACAAAGCAACATTCTCTGTTGCGAAAAGCAATTGGTGGGATAATGAAATTTTATCTACCAAGTAATGTTAGAAGATGAAATGGACAGGAGGCGAGGATTGGGTTGATATGGCATTACAGTAAAATTGTTTCAAATAATGTATTTCTGACCTTGTTGAAATAGATTAGTGTTTGTAGTGCAAAACAGAAATCCAATTGCTAAAATAAGGAGTGTTTCTTTTTTTTAAAAAATTGCACTTTAAAATTATGCACTGGATACTGATGGGAAGTAATGCAAATGGTTGTGTTATGATATGTGGGTTATGCAGAGAAAGCTTCTTGGCAGAGCAACAAATAAAAAGGGCTTCCTTGTGTTGCTCTGAGCTATTATGGTTTGCCACCTCCCTGGAAATTATTTAGCCTAATATATGGATTATGGGTGAAATAAATATCCATTTAAAAACATGACAGCAGTGTTGAATCCCGCTGTCCACACTGGAAATAGGGTGGCTTATGTTAACCTTATTTAATGGCATTTTAATAAATTTAATGCATACTAATAAATTGAGAGGTGTCAACTTGCATTTCAGTCTCTCTGGCTGCAAACAGACACTGCATTATTTATGCAAAGATGTCGAAAGACATTTAAAGCAGGCAGCTCTCATTTATGGATCTCTAGTTTTGGTAGAAATTTAGGCTTCTAAAACAAACTCCAAGTTGGAGAGCAATTTTCAAGCAATTACTGTAGCATGATAACTTCTTAAAGTAGAGTATAATTTTGTAGCACCATCATATTGTCTGACACTATTATGAAGTTATTTAGATCTGTTTTAAGTCATTTTGTGAAACTTGCTCATAGTAGTAATAAATGTTTTATACAAAGGACATTGCTGTGGTATGTGAATTATTCAATTACAGCCCAATTACAAGCCAAGGTGGCAATATAAGTTTTCGTCTAGGCAGGGCTGTCAAACTTCCTGCCTGTGGGCCAGATGCGTCATGGGCTGGCCACGCCCATGCCCGGTTTAGCGAAGGGGGGGAAGTCCCAATACGTCACGTAACGCCGTGACTTTGACACCCCTGGTATAGGGGGACCCTTAAAGCATTGTTAGAGCCATACACGACTTAAGCAAGAAGAAAAAAGATTTACTGTATATACTAAGCTAATCTATGAGCAAACCTTTGCTTTCCTTAAAGGTAATGGTTTTAGTCGGGTTCAATTACGAAAGCCACCTTAATGTGACACAATGAAACTATAATTCTGAGTTAGATCTAAAGAATGATAAAGCAGATTTCTGTGCAGGATTCTACTACAGCATCCACAGCTGGTGGCTATCCAGCCTCTTTAAATACATCCAGTGAAGGAATATCTACCGTCTAGATCAGTGTTTCTCAACCTTATGATGTGTGAACTCCAATTCCCAGAATTCCCTAGCCAGCGAGAATTCCAGTGTAGTTCACATATCTTAAAGCTGCCAACACTGGTTTAGGCTGTCTGTTAAAATACTGAGCATGTTTCAACTGTTGGGAATTATCCTGATGTCCACTTGAAATGTGCTTTTTCACAATTTAAATCCACTGCCTTATTTTCCCTGAACTACACTGAGTAGGCCTGTTTTTTCAGTGACAGTGCTTCAAACTCCTGTTCAAGGAGGCAGGAATCACATACTTATTCAAATAACTACAGGCAGGAATGTGGGGGAGGGGCATTTGAATGATGTCAAATGTGTCGTCAAATTACATAAATTGCAGCAGTCACAAGTGGCAATTATCTATGCAAAATTTTCCTGATATTATGAATCCTGATGTCACCAAGGGCATTTACAGCTGCCTCTGCAAAAATAAATAAATCCTGCATTGGCTAGCCCTAACCCAAAGGTGCTCGACTTTTCACTGTGTCCAACTTTTTAATTCAGTGGGCAATCCGATGCAGGAATATTTCCATTCTTTGCCAGTTCACGATAGAATGGCTTCACAAGCTCATATACAAAGATCAGCCAGCAGAAAAACAGCACACAACCTTTGCAGCACACACATCTTATTTAATTACACCAGGCAGAAATGCACCATGGTAGTCAAGAAAGAAAGAAAAAGAACACCCTCTTATTTCAAAACATTAAATTAAAAAAAGAACTTATTACAAAAGCTGCTTTTAAACCTTATTTAATTAAAAAAAGGTTTAAAAAGATATAATGGAACCTCCAGAAGTAAATAAGTTACAAGTACATTAAATCACATCAAGACTTTTAGTGTATTAATAGTTTGTAAAAAAAACACAAAAATAAATTGTCTGATCTATCACATTTATACACAAGAGGTATATAATACTTTCGTATGTACAATATTTTAATATGTAACAGTCTTTTTAAAAGGTGCAGCAAATACACAAAAGGCAATTTCTGCTCATTTGTTAAAATAAAAGCTCTATATTAAAAGCATTTATACAATAATTACAAGAAAACAAGACAGTTTCTGTACTGTACATCAAGAAAACTTCAGCATTAAATACAGACTAAAAAACTTATACTAAATTTGAACATCAGGAGAATAACATGAAACGTAAATATGCAACTAGATTTTCTTTCAACAAAGCATATTGAAAGCACATTGTTATTTTACATACATACATACATACATATATACACAGTCTCGCACAAATTTATATGAATACAAGCAGGTGGGAGATTTTTATAGCTTCAGCTGTTGATATAAAATCTCACATTCCAAAAAGGAAAGGAGAGAGACAAAAAAGAAATGTAAGCAGCTGGAGATTAGGGCCACAACCTGTCTCAAACTTCACTCATTTCTATACAATTTGGGCAGGAAATTCTGCAGTTCCCTGAAATGAACACCAAACTTGGCTCTGGAAGAATTCAGCACTGTAACATACATGGGATTAAAATTATAATTGATCGGGGGAGGGGAAGGAAGAGAAGCATCTGTGCAGCTTCCATTTCTTTTGAAAAAAATTGAGCCAGTGAGTCACAGCAGAAGGCCATATATATGAGAAGAGAGTAGAGGCACACTGGGAAATATTAGGATGCAAACATTTATAAATTGGGCGAGGGAGGAAACAGCAACATTTTCCAGACATGAGTAGTACATTATTCCACACTATTATTCTGGCAAGCATAAAGCAACAAAAAAATGGGAAAACGGGTCAGAATATATGAGTAAAGCAAGCAAAATGTTAAATTGCAGTTCTCCAACTACATCAGAGATTTAGTGATTATGCAAAGGGAGGGACAGCCTAATTAAAACTAGTTTTAAAGATGACTGATGACTAAAGGAACTTTAATTGGCATCTTCAACTATCTTACGCTCATGTCCACTCAGAAGTCTCAATGAGAACAAAAGAACCTCACCCCTAGCTAATCTTTGTTGATCTCCAAATCTAAGCAAGGTTGGATCATAGTTAATACTGGATTGGAATGTTGAACTAGCATTCCAGAAGATGGGAATGGAAAATCACTTTGGTATTTCTGCCAAGAAAACTGCATGGATTAGATCACTAGAAGTGCACTGAATTTAAGCCCACAGCTTCTAAATGAAATTATCCAGCCGTGTATTAGTAACAATTGCTCATTTGCAAATGTAGCAATCATAGAAAATAAATGCACATATTAAGGGCTTCCAACTCCCTTTTTTCAGCATTACCAATCAAGCTGTCAGAACCTTTAATATAGTTGTGCCTGATGTAAAGTAATTGCAATGTATTGGGAAACTACAGCATCTACCGTATCAAAGTGTTTCAAAATGAAGTATTCTTCTATTAATGTTGATTACACCTGCAATATAAAGTTATTTCATAATAGGTCTATCAGCTGCAGCTGAGTAGTAGAGTATTCAGTGTCTTAAATGCCATACATTTTACATTATGAGCAGGAAATAAAAAAAATTCAAGCCATGTTTATTCATGTACATTTATCGTAAGAATCTAACATAGGTTTGCATATAGCTGCTGATCTCACACATCGCATTAAAACTATGATATGATTGTTTACCTACTAGTAGCAACCTAGGAACTGTGATGCGTAAATAATCATGCATGGTTTATGTGTGATTTCCTGACATGCCCCTGGTTTATTTGTGTATTCTTTTAAGCATTTCATGAAGTTATAGGGCAAGAAAACAATAAAATGAAGAAGAAATAAATCAAGAATTAGATGAATAAGCCATAACTTTGCTCATTTACAAGGCTAATTTTAACTTCTCGTGTTTAAACAATTGTATTTAAAATAAACATTCATTTTATTGATTAAATGTATATGCCACTCAACTCCCTAACCAAAGCAACTGTGAATTTAATGCAATGTGCGAATCCATCTACTGTCTTTAGTAAGAAAAAGATCTCTGCATAATAGGGAAGCTTATTAATATGAAAGTATCTGAGGAAGAATGGACAGGTAACATTGTGCAAAATGAAAATCTGTGGATTTATAATGGTTCTCTCACCTAAAGTTACCTTGGTATAAGAAAACTAATGAGTTTTATGTACTGGCTAATAATCAGAAACGGGATATTCCAGATTAGTTAAGAGTGTACTTTAAGTAGAAAGAAAGTAGAAAATACATTTGGGCTACAAAAGTAATCAGGAAGAAGAAGAAGAGCTCCAATATCTGGACTGATTATTATGAGATCAATTAAAATTGTAGAGCTAGTATATTGCACCCAGCAATTAACTTGCCACTGGTGACTCTCTACCCACTGTTGAAACAAGCTGGTTCTATAACGAGACTTCAATTCAGACACACCTTTAGTGTAAGCATGCACCTCGAAATCACAGGTGTTTAACGTACATATATACAAATCTTCAGCATAGTGCCATGACCACTGAAATAAATCTCAGGTCAGGACATGACCTTCCTGCTCATCAGCCGTAGGCTGATTCTAGAACATATTCTATCTAGTCACCATTCCTGCTTCTGCCCAGCTTCAGAAAAGGGGAGCAAGGCAGCATTTCCTGGCTTTTATCACTTAACTCCCCACTTCACTGATGCATTATTACTGATTAGATATAAATACAATTTTAAGGAATCCTATTTATAAGTCTTTTAATAGCTACAAAATGCCACACAATGAATTGCAAAGTGCATCTGTGCTGGATTGTAGCGATTATATTTGGGAAGAACATGTTCCACCCAGGAACAAAATACTTTTGTAATCCCTTTTTTCTTGCTAAAAAATACCATTTGGATACTTTGTTCATTCCAAAATATATATATATTCTCTCTTAACATATGACATTGATTACATTTAATGCTGACTTTCAAGGCAGCAACGCTCTTCTCTTTTCTGAACGGTTGGGAAAGCAAATGTTACCTTTCTCAAGATCTCGAATGAATTATTTGAACAAGATAATTTTCTTGTTTGGGCTGGAATTCACACAGTCTAAGTGCAAAGGAAAACATGATTGAGACCAACCGTTTTTGAAAATGCGGTCAAAAGCCTGGTTGCATTGCTTTTACTTCATTATATTATGTATTAAAAGCTAAAATTTGTGCAAAATTGTGATCTGGAAGGAAAACATCATTGACCCAGTGCAAAAATAGTGGACATTCTTGAAGCTCTAATTGTAGCTCTGAAGCAGGTTAAAAAGAAAGTAATTACCTTTAATTGAAGGCTGCTTTTTAAACACACTGGAAGAACTCACTTTAGAGGCAGATTGGCATTGTCCATATGTTACAGGGAGAAAAAGGTTTAAAGGCAAATATTCTGCATTATGAGACCCTGAACCTTTTAAAAAAAATCCTGTACATTACACCAGGGGTGTTAAACTCAAGGCCCGGGGACTGGATCTGGCCTGCGGGGCCATCCTAGAAACAGCAAAGGACTGGCCCGCAGTGCCTCTGTCAGCAAAAACAGAGCTTGGGAGGGCCTCCTGCAGCCCTCCCGGGCTCTGTTTTTAGCTGCGACGGCCTCCTGCTGCCCTCTGACAGTGAAAATGGAGCTCGGGGGCTTCGTTTTCATTGGCAGAGTTCGGCAGAGGGCTGCCGCAGCTGAAAACAGAGCTCGGAAGCCCAGTTTTTGCTAGCAGAGCAATTAACAGACGCCCCTGACACAAGTGACATCAAGCTGGCCACACCTATTCTGGCCATGCCCACCTCCCGAGGTCAAACACAACCCTGATGCGGCCCTCAATGAAATAAGAGTTTGACACTCCTGCATTACACGGTCTACTTAGCTCAGTAAGTATTAAGCCGCAACAATGGCCTGAGAACATCCCCTCTAACAGATTGCCTTCCTAGCTCTATTATTGGCTAATCTTGAACTCAAACAGAGACCTCTTGCATGCAAAGTATCTGCTCTATTCTTCAAAGAACAGGTTCACATGACTGGCTCCTGGGATTGCAAGTAAGGGATAGTCAATTTCAGCATTCATCCACAACTAGCATAGCATGTTAAGAAAGAAGGCTGAAACTTATTTTCAACATTCAAAATGCAATTTCTTTGCATATTCCGATAGTGGTTTTGTTTTGTGTGCTATGAAATAGAAGTATTTGAAATATGTAATGTCTTGTAGCTGTACTAGTAATCTTATATAGTAAAAGTTGCTCCATAAAAAATTATGCTGTTCATGTAGCTTAGCAGGCAAAATATATCCAGCAGCTGGTAGGATTAATTGCCATCTAGTTGTCGGGGCAATCCAACTTTGGCTTGCTGTCAAATCACTCTGTGATTTGCCCTTTGTCCAAGAGACTTTCAATCTTCTTCTGTGGTTGGGAATCAAATTTAAAACTTCTAGCTTTTCGATACATTTCTAAGTAAACTTCTAGAAACTTGAGTCTTGAATCGGTTCTAGAAGAAGAAAAAAAACCCTGCTGGAGAACAATCCTAGCATGGTTTATTCAATAAAGGTTCTTCTGCAGATTATTAATGCAATTCCTTGCTTTCATGGCCCCTGTGGCTGTAGAAGACTTATTTTTCAGGACTTTTCCATTTACAGCTGAATAAGCACTGTATTTTCTGCGGACACGAGAATTTGAAAGTTATAAGCAAGCAGTTTAGGTGCCCCATCTTTATCTGCTAAGCATTCTTTTTCTGTCCTCTGCTGCACCCTCCTTTTCTTTGTACTGCCAGACAGAGAGAAAGTTGCTTTTTACTGTAGCAATGTGAAGATAACCGTCCATAAGTATTAAGATAATTGCAAATACTTGCTGCTTGATGCAGAAGGACAAAGTTCTTAGATAAATTTGGCTTGGTGCACCATTTCTAAATACTTTTCTTTTTCCCCGCACATTTGGTATTCTTGACTCCGGATATCTGGGCCCGAGTACAGTGCAGAACATCTAAATGAAACTGTCATTTAGTTGGCAAATACCTCAACCGAAGGGTAGTCCTGAGGCTGCAAATACATATGAATCAATGCAACATGATCCTTATTTCTATTATCTTGAGTATACTCAGTCTACCTTTGCAAACCATGCTTTTTTTTAAAAAAAGGGAATAAATATCATAACTGTTTTAAAAATTAGCAGCTACTCTTTTGTAAGCCAGTTGAAGCATTCAAATGGACAATTAAGCAAAACTACACTCAAGTCTATTCAGGTAAAAATAATGCACTTTCATGGTGGACAACTAGTTATCTAATCCATTGGGCTACAGTATCAAACTGTATACCAGCTGTATACCACAGCCACGCCCGGTTTACCGAAGGGGGGAAAAAGTCATGATATGTCACGTGACAACGTGAGTTTGACACCCCTGATCTACATGCTCAGATGCTTGGAATAAGAATGGTTATTGCAAATGGACTCTGATGAATGAATGCTATCCCCCAGCAGAATAATGCCATGGATAAAAGGTCATCTTCTCATAATTGTGGCTCTTTAATAATTTGGGCAGGATTCTATCTCAATCTCATTAACCCAAAATCATACATGGGTACTTGTGCAAGCAAAGTTTGTTTTTACCACAGAACTACAGATGTGCAATATCCCAGAACTCATCACTAATTCTTTTGGCCAACTCTGGAGACATACGTGATCAACTTTCTATGACTCAACATAATAGGGGTAGTTCCAAACAAACACTAACTATAATATTTCCACTCTTAAAGAGCTATATCTTAAAAGCAATAGTCTCTTCATTCACCCTAGAGAAGTTCTCACTTCTGGTTCTGGTTTATCTACCAACTGGAGAAACAAAAAACTCTTGTATGAAGGAGACAAAAGAAACCGTGAATAGCTCCAAGCCAGAAAGTAAACTTGGAGATGAAAGAAAAGAAGTATATGAAGAACACTATGTGGCTCCTTGAATTTACACCCAAAGTAATTCAGTTACTATCCAGAGCATTTGACAAATTTCTCTCTCAGCAGAGGGTAAGATATTTAAGGCTTTTGCCACGATTCCTGGCAAGTTCAGGAGCTGAAGGAAAACAGACTTCCATTCATTAAGTTGATACAGAAAGTTATTTATAAATAAAATAATCCATAAAATGTTTCTTTTAAAAATAGAGATTTTTGTGGTCACTATATTTTTTTTTTTCGTTTAAAAAATCTACCGGTACGGTTCAAGCAAGAAGGAAAGGAAGTAGACACAAGGCTGGAGCAGTCAGAACAGGGCTTTCAGTCTCTGGGGGTCCTGGGCTAAACATCACCATCTTCATCCGAACTGCTGCTGCTGCTCCCATGACTGCTCCCACTGTTGCTGCTTTCTTCCTGCTGAGCCCTACTGTGTGCTTGTGCTGCTGCCGCCGCTGCCTCCGCCGCCTCTGCCGCCTCCTTCTCCCGCAATTTCAGAGCTGCAGCCTTTTTCTCCTGCTCGGCATGGCTTTTCATGTGAGCGCTCCGACTTTTCACCTTGTAGAAGATTCTGCAGGGCACAATATCCACAGCACAGTAGTTAAATCCTGGATTTATATATCACCTTCCACCCTCCTTTGTTTGAACACTGACTTACTAACCAAAGTCAATCTTGCAGATTGTTAAGCTAAACAGGAAATTCCTGTTATCTGCTTTTGCCTTGCATGCTTTTAAAGCAGCTAGAACAAGAGAAGGCAACTTGTAAGCCCTCTCGATGTTGCTGAACTGCAATTCCCAGCATCTCTAGGAAGCTTGGTCATGTTAGTGGAGGCTGGAAGCTGCAGCTGAAAAAAACTTGTAATGCTACAGGTTGCTTTGATCAAGATTCGAAACTTGGTTAGTAGACAAAAATCAACCAAGAAATCACATTGCACGCAGTAGCCCAAAAGCAAAGGAACAGCACTATAGTTTTAATATGATGGGCAACCCAACTTTATATCATAGTCCTGGACAGCCATTATCTATCTACTACTAAAACTCTTATTCCAGTAACATTTAATTGGGTGAAACAGTTTATCATAGGGCAATCATTTCTCAAGCAAGATACCTCAAATGGGCTAACTTACAGAGTACACCTAAAATGCAGGACCCATGACTTCCAATGGAATTGTAATTTTAAAAAACATGTTACGACACAAGCATTATCACAAAGCAGTCTATGACACGACATGAAATGTCCTAAAACATTTCCTGTGCCGATGTTTGACTGTATGGGTCAAAGCAGTCAGCAGCGAGAGTGGCAAGTAACCCGGCCCGCGCCCAGGCTGCAAGAGGCTGGCGCGGCCGTAGAAATTCCAAAAAAGGCAGCCAGAATTCACAAACGTCCCTACTCTACAGCTGAGCAGCAGGGATCAAAGGAAAGCTGCGCCAAGGCTCGTGGAGGCTGGCGCAGCTCCAGCGGCTTCGATGCAGGCTCCTGGTACTTCCGAGCCTAGCCGCAGTTACTGGGGCGACGCCAAGCCAGGCAGCACCCCAAAATTAAGTCCAGCACCTGTGGGGGTTGGGGAGGGTGGGAGGTGCCGAAAAGGGCCACGCCCCCAGCTCAAATCTGTATCCATGGAGAGCCCTCCCAAGCTGCAAACAAGACAAGTAAAAGGAAAGAGGAAAAAAAATTATTTTTAAACCTAAGGAAAGAAGAAAAAAATAAAAAATAGCTATCCAGGGAATTAAGTTCCAAGCTCAGCTCTAAAGCTCTGGAGCTAAAAAAATTGAGTCCATAGCTGAAGCCGAGTTGAAAAAAACTGAGGAATGTCACCAGGGAGGCGGAACCTCAGAAGTTTCAACTTAGTCCATAGAGCTACAGCCTAGAACAGTGATGGCTAATCTTTTTGTCGTGTGCCAGGAGAGGGGGAACGGGGGAGGGTCGCGCGCACATGTGCCCATGCACACGCACACGCAACCCCACCCACCCCCGCTCCTGGCACATGATGGCTGGTAGGTCCGTTTTTCTTTCTTACCTGGTTCCAGATCCTCTCTATGCCATCTGGGACGGGAGAAAACAGCCTTTTCCACTCCCTTGGAGGCACTACGGAGGCTGAAAGGGCCCATTTCCCAACTCTCAGTGGGACAGGAAGTGACATTTTTTGCTGACCCCAGCCTCCAGAACCTCTCTAGGAGTATCTAGAAGCCTCTCTAGGAGTCTCTGGAGGCTGGGGACAGGAAAAAACGTCACTTCCTGTCCCACCGGGAGTCGGGAAATGGGCCCTTTCAGCCTCCGTAGGGCCTCCAAGGGAGTGGGAAAGGCTGTTTTCGCCCTTCCCAGATGCATAGAAAGGATCTGGAGCCAGGTAAGAAAGAAAAACGGGCCTTCCCCACCCCCCTCCAGGCCCTTCAGAGGCAGGAAACAGCCTGTTTCCCTACTTCTGGTGGGCCCAGAAGGCCCGAAAATCAGCTGGCCGGCGCTCACATGTGCCCCAGAGCTGAGCTGGTGTGCCCACTAATATGGCTCCATGTGCCACCTGTGGCACGCGTGCCATAGGTTCGCCATCACGGGCCTAGAATAACCCAGCCTGGTATCTCCCATTTCCACACTATGGAGAATATACAGTTCTCAACATGGGCTTCTTTCAAAGCAGAGACATCTCTGAGCATATTTCAACTTTCCCAGTGAAGGCAATATCATTAGAAACTCTGCCATTGTTGAAGGCATTAAGGAATCTGGTAAGGAAATATCTCTGAAATTTCCCAACGGGTTACAAATTGTCTGGATATAAATTATCATACTAGGCTTGGCCAAAATACATGAACACACCCTAAGTCATTCCTCATCTCAACCAACATGTATTTACCTTCCTGTTTTCTCAACTGAGATGCAAATAATTTTGGGTACCTGGTTCCGCTGTATGATATCATCCATAACTGGCTAACTTTTAACTTTTAAAGTGTGAAGGAATGATTATATTAGAAGAAGGAATGTTTTACATTTCTCTACCTAAAATGGATGCATAGGGATTGGCTTTTTTTTTTTTTTTTACCCTAGCACTCTTTAGATATATTGGCATTGCAACTCTCAAAATTCCCAGGTAGTTTGACCAAACTAGCTGGGAATTTGGGTCATTTAGTTGCCACAGATCTGGAAGGTGCTAAATTCAGAAAGTTTGAAGGGATTATCTTGGACCTTACAGAATCAACCAAAGTCAAGACCTGGAATTTCTAAGGTTGATTCTTTTAAGCAGTGCAGAGTGGAATCCACCCAAGTGCAAATCATGTTGTACTTTTGAGATGCTACCTGTGGCTAGTTTTTCTTTATTTATTTCCAATTCCAATTCAAAATGACTCTTGGCACTTTATATGATATGAAGAACTTTGAAAGATCCATCCTGGTATTTAAAAATGGAAATAAAAACAATAATAAAAAACAAAGAGATCCAAATAAAGGAAAATGTGAAAAAATGGCTAAGACTGACTAGAATGCACTCTGAAATAATAAAATATTATTTAAAACTTCTATTAGGCAGTATTGGCTGGACCTCAGATTCTATGGAGGAGACTACCAAAATTCTCTATTGTCATTTTTCTGCATAGAACATGAACCCAACATCTGATTTGGACAGACATAAGCCTTAAATTTGGGTTTTGTATTAATTCTGAGGCATCACCTAGTACTTTTCATGCCAAGAGCAGCTACTGATGAAAAAATTTCTGCTAACAAATTGACACAAATGAAGTGCACACAAGTCCTGTACATTTGAAGAGACTAATTGCAATGATCATTCTATATGAAAAAGCTTCTTGCAATCACAACTTTTGAAGTTCTTTATAGATCCAATTGCATCATTTGCATCTGGTTATTTGGTACCCAAGCATTTCACATGTGCTTCCTTTCATTTGCTGATAGTTTTAGATTTTGCATGATTATTATGATTTCCATAAAAGCCTTTTGTGAGATATTTTATACAAGACTTTTGAATATCCAAGTATTAGATTACCAGGTAACCTCTACCTACATGCAGATTGGAACAAGTGAGTGATCTTTCTACCTACATTTCTACTGACAGGAAAAACCCTATAAAGCCCATATTTTTTGCTTGCAAGTTTATAATCCATGAGGATCATATATTTTTTCCTAGCACAAATTAGAAATTGGATGTTTCATTCATTTCATCATTTAAATGCTTGATAAGGTTCATAAGTCACTGGGTTTATGCAGTCTAGACAAGAAGTTAACTTTCCAGTCTAATGATGCTTCCAGTCATCAAACATATTCTTCTTTAGTCTAGTTCCAGTTAACTGAGAGAGACATACAAATTGAAACAGATATGTGCAAGCTCAAGGCCAGCTGATGTTTAATCTTGCTCAGTCTTGAACTGGTGCCTGCTATTGTACAGTAAAAAAAGAATAATTATTATCTAGGAGGCTGTTGAAATATTCCCTCAAGACATCCCTAGAGCATCTCTACATCATTCCGTTCATATGTGAAAGCCATCCGAAGTAGAAGATAGCATTTTTGCAGGGGTATTGCACAGAAATTACATAAGATCCTAACAATTTATAACAGAAAAAATGTAATTGTGTGAGCAATTCAAAAAAAGCAAAACCCTTTTACCTCACGCACATCCAGATTAGGCAACTTGGTGGCTTCTAAATACTGTGGACTTTAATTCTCATCAGTCCCAGTCAGCAAGGAAACATATAATTTTTATTCCAAAATGCCTGCAGCATAGCAGTTACCTTAAGACCAATGGTTCTCAACTTTAGCAATTTTAAAATGTGTGGATTTCAATTCCAGAAATCCCCAGCATGTTGAAGCTGAAGTCCACAGATCTTAAAAGTTGCAAATGTTGAGGAATACTATTTTAGACTTAGGTTAGCAAATATTCTTCAATTCCATATTCATTTTTCCTGTTGAACAGAAGAAAATATATCAGGAAATTTTCTTCATCTCCAAATCTTCCCAAGTTTACCTGCCACATTTTTTACATGGAAATTCCTCCTCTTGATTCTGGGTTTTGTTGGCAGTTTCTTGTTTGGGTTTCGGTTTTCTCCTTCTCTTTTGCACTGGTGGTGAAGTCTTCCGATATTTAATGGGTGTCTCCTTCGTCCTTCTTGATGTTCTGCCTCTGACCTCTGTTCTTCCTGGGGCACCAGATTCCAGATGTTTTTCCATATGAAGATTACCAGCCTACAGAATAAGACACCATTATTGCAAGATGTAGCTAGAAGTATTCCTATGGAATAGATTTATTCATTTATTTCATTTATATCCCACCTTTATTATTTTTTTGAAAATAAATCAAGGTGCCAAACATACCTAACTTTTGAGCAGGGCGCTGGACTAAAAGTTTTCCAAGGTCCCTTCCACCTCTATTCTATTCTCATGAGCTTCTTTTTCCTCCTATTTTTCCCACAACAACTCTGTGAGGTGAGTTGGGTTGAGAGAGAGTAACTGGCCCAAAGTCACCCTGCTGGTTTAACAAAACTTAACAATGGTCAGAAAAGTTTGGGGTGATTAAAGCATTGATATAATTATATTATTTTAAGAAGCTAAACCTCAGCTTTCATGCGTTCAACATATTACAACGTGAGTGCTTTTTAATCATGTCTTAAATAAGCTCTGAATATTTTGAGTTCCTCTTGGAGTTTTTCTTCAGGGCTGTTAAAACATTAAACAATGGTTTTAGGTTGTTTTTGTTTTTGCAAAACCTATAAGAAACATACTATAGCAGCATACTGGAGGCCATGCGGGTCTGGATGGGGAGAAATAGGCTCAGACTCAACCCTTCCAAGACCGAGTGGCTGTGGCTTCCGGCGTCCCGATATAGTCAGCTGGTGCCATCGCTGACTATTGGGGGTGAATCTTTACCCCCCTCCCAGAGAGGGCTCGCAATCTGGGTGTCCTCCTGGATGCATGGCTGTCTTTAGAAGAACATATGACGGCCGTGGCCAGGGGGGCTTTCTATCAGGTTCGCCTGATCCGCCAGTTGCAGCCCTTTTTGGACCGGGACGCCTTATGGACGGTCACTCACGCCCTTGTCACCTCCCGGCTGGACTACTGTAGAGCACTCGGAAGCTCCAGCTGGTCCAGAATGTGGCCGCGCGGGTGGTTATGGCCGGACTCGTTGCACCCATGTGACACCTCCCCTGTGCGAGCTGCACTGGCTCCCAGTGGTCTTCCGGGTGCGATTCAAGGTGTTGGTTACCACCTTTAAAGCGCTCCATGGCTCAGGACCTGGATATCTTCAAGACACCAGTAGCCTCCCACCGGCCAATTCGCTCCCATAGAGAGGGACTCCTCAGGGTGCCATCGGCCAAGTTATGCCGGCTGGTGACACCCAGGGGAAGGGCCTTCTCTGTGGGAGCTCCTGCCCTGTGGAACGAACTGCCCCCGGAAATTCGCAAGATCTCCGACTTCTGTGTGTTTCGCTGTGCCCTTAAGACCCTGCTGTTCCGCCAGGCAGGACTATCTATGTAAATTATTTTTAAATTGGTGTTTTAAATTTGGGGTTTTAAATTCTGGCCAAAATTGTTTAATACTTTTAACTATTTTAAAACTGTTGTTGTATTTTGTGTTTTTAATTGGCTGTACACCACCCCGAGTCCTTCGGGAGGGGGGCGATATATAAATTAAATTATAAATAAATAAATAAATAAATAAAAATACTGATTCCCCACAGTCTATTTTAAGTACAAATTATGAAAGCACTATTGACCTATGAAGTAAACAAGGAGTCTACCGTCTCTTGTATACACATCACATTATATTAAAAGAAACATTTCAAAGCCGAACGTTTTCTGCTTACAAGCTCCCTTGAGAAAAGGTATGCAAAAGTAAAATGAATATTACACAGAGTATTATTAAGACGGCAAAATAAATGTTTTGAAAGTTTTCAAATACACGACTGCAAATCCAAGTTCAGTACTCTTCGAAAAATCCATAAAAAGATCCAAACTGTGTTTTAAGATTATTGGGTGGGATGGTTGTGTTGCAACTACTTTGCTGATTAAAAATATTACACAGGTAGTCCTCTCCTTACAATGGCAAGTGAAGCTGGAAACTCTTTTATCATTAAGTGACACCGTCATAAACTACAATGTCATGTGATTGTACTATGTAGCAGCAGCACTTTCAGTAGTTTTCAGGTAGCCGTTGTTAGCAAGGACCATGCAAGTCATTAAGTGAGGACCTCATGTGATCACAATTTCTGACATCCTGCCAGCTTCCCCACTGATTTTGCTTGTGGGAAGCCAGCCAAGGAACATTAAAAATTGTGATTAAGTGACCACAGCTTGCTACAATATTGTAATCACAAGCCAGAAGCCGAGAGTCCAAATCTCAATCCCATGACTAAGGGCACCTGTCCTAAGTCTGCCTCATTCAGCACCATCATAACTTTGAACAGTCATTGAACAAAAGGTTGTAACCAGAGGACTACTACCTGTATCTACACTTCTGTCATCTTTCTTGACTGAAAACATCAGGCAGCTGCCAAACAATTATTCATACCATGAATAATTTATGTCACTAGTGATGTTAACTAAGGGCAAAAATTACACTGATTCCGCTACAACTGGTCAGATGTTTTATAAGAAATGCTCCAGGCAGAAATTGTTGACTGTGGTTCATTCAACACTTACTTGTTCCTCAACATCTCGAAGAGGAGTCGATTTGGAAGGTGTGAAATTGCTGCTTTTGCCATACAACTCATCCCCTTCTACAGCTTCCTCTTTAATTGGCATGATGTCCTCAACTTCTTCAAGATCTTCATCTTCTGTGTTTTCATAGTCTTCATTGTATGTTCTGGGAGGAAGAGTACGTGTAAGCCTGTGGGAACTCTTTAGAAGAGTACAAAAAGGAATGCAGGTTAAAAACAATCACTTCAGCACAGATTAGGAATATACATGAATCCAATAGGGCTCATTCTGCAATGGTAGGTGGGAATGAGCTTGGGAGGCGGGGCAAAGAAATGCAGCCTAAGGCAGTAGCCCCCAATCTTTTGGGCACCAGGGACCGGTTCCATGGAGAGAGGTTTTTCCGTGGACCAGAGGGGGCGTGGTTTCATGTGCTGCCTGCATCTCGCGAATGGCCCTTTGCTTGTTTGCACAGACCAGTTTCTGGCATGCCACAACCTGGTGCTAGTCCACGGACCGGGGGTTGGGGACCCCTGGCCTAAGGAACGGTCAGCTAAGAGAGAGCAGAGAGTAAAGCTTACAACTGCATAACAAGTGGAGCAAGAGACCCAGAAGGGGTCCATGTTCTTTAGCTGTAAAAGTTGAAGAACTGTAGTTTCAGACTTGAAAATTCTGTTAATGTAGCTTGACAATAAAATAGAGTTAGCTTATTTGATCATGTTTCCTGTGTGGTCTACCCAGTAAGGCTGACGCACATTCATCAATATTGTAATAGCTTCTGCCAATGAGATTAAGGTAGAACTCTGCAATTTTCCCATTTTCTCTGGGAATTTCTTTCTACTGTATACATGCGTAGTAATTCACAGCGACAGAAAATGCCCGTTTCAAGTTCCATGCCTTTGCCTGCAATCTATGAGGTCTAGCATAATTTTTAGCATCGAAGCTCCTGCTTGGTATCTGTTACCTTTATATCTACTTCAGCTTCATCTTTAACAGCTCTTTCAGTGGTAGCGTCAACATCCCCAAAGATGAGAGTCCCATTCCGGCCTATTTTGACTTGTTTTTTGTAAGTATAGTAGAATTCCACACACTGAGCTACAGTCTTGGTTTTTATCTGCAATATTGTGGGATGGAGAAACAAAGGAAGATACAAGGAAAGGAATCAGAGAATTCCAAATAATCACAAGGTTTGGTGCTAATAATTTTTTTTTACTGAAAGTATCTCAAAAAAAAAGGGGCATTGGCAGAAATAGAATCTAAACTTGACTATAAAAAACAGCTTGAAAAACTAGAAAACTGGAAATCCAAAGTGTTCCATCAAAATTTCTGACAATAGAAACTGTTGGAAAATCAGACCTCAGCAGAATAGGGCAGCAGTTTAAGAATAGTTAGTCCTCTACTTACAACAGTTCATTTAGTGACCATTAGAAGTTACAACATCACTGAAAAAAGTGGCTTATGATCATTTTTCCCACTTACAACCATAACATAATCCCCATGGACATGTGACCAAAATCCAGATTCTTGGCAACTGACTTATATTTATGACGGTTGCCATGTCCTGTTGTCACATGATCCCTTTTTGCGACCTTCTGACAAGCAAAGTCAATGGGGAAACCAAATTCACTTAACAATTGTATTATTACTTTAACAAGTGCAGTGATTCACTTAACAACTGTGGCAAGAAAGGTCATAAAATGGGGCAAAACTCACTTAACAAATGTCTCACTTAGTAACAGAAATTTTGGGCTCAATTGTGGTTCTAAGTCAAGGACTACCTATAGTATATTAAAGAGGAAATACAAGAAATGTATTTTACGGTCTAAAACCCAGCATTACACACAAATGTCATCAAAATAAAAACAGAAAAGACCAGTTTGGATTGTTCAGAGTTAAAACAGGTGATCATTCATTTGATTCTGCAATGGGATGCATGGACTGAGATCACAAACACCCATAAACTGTACACTGTATTGTGATGGTTGAAAAATTTTCAGTTGATCTGTCCTGGGATAGTCCCGAGTATAACTTAAAACCATTACAGGACCAAATGGAAGTTATTAGCCAATCCAGAAATACCTTCTTTCTTTTATACCTTAAATTTCGAATAATTTATTTTCTTAATAATAAACCTATTATTCTATACTGTATTACTTCATATGCATTCCTTTCTGAATTTCTCTGTTGCAAGTGGATATCTCGTGTATAAATTAAATGCTAATCTTATGACTCACAAGTCCTTGAGTAGACTGGAATCCTATAGGAGAAAACCAGCCAACATGATTACAGGAATTGGAATAATAATCTACTCTATTAGGGTATTACTGAGTTGTTTACCAATCAAACAGGTCAAATTTCAACACAAAAAGCAATTATATTACATACACTGGGTAAATTCATGAGCTTCAAAGCCCCTGGCTGCTATCCAGACCCATTGTCCTGAAGGTTGACACATGTGCAACAAATCTGAGACTAAATAATGTGGAAATTGATCTCTGGGTTTCAAAGGCCACTTGTCTGATGAAAACTGAGGAATCATGGAGTTGCTACATATGAAATAAGAGAGATTCAATTTTGTGTGAACTGCAGTGGGGGTTTTCAGACTGTGGTGGCAGCTGAATGCTTTGCTGGATCAAGAGGGCTTTGATTATGAAAACTTAAATTCTAAATAAAGAAATCTGATGCAACCACTGAAGCAATGATAGTTGTTCATCCCTTGTTTTGCAATATATTAGGCAGATAATTTGAGGGCACCCGTGAAATGCTTCTGGTTGCACATAGATTTTACATATGGCTTTTCATAGTTTGGCTCAAAAAGGAACTAATTTTTTTGGCGATGCTTAAAGAGTTCCTTCACTCCTTCTTTCACATGAAATAGCGTATAAATCAAGATATTCTTCAACTAACTATCCTGCTGCTTCATTCTGAGGAAGAAACAATCCTTAACTGTTTTAGAACAAGTCTGCTGGCTTGTTCCTCTTCCTTCCTCTTGTGAAAGGACAAAGAGATTATGTTGGGACTCCAATCATTGAAATTATCAGCACTTCAGCATCACTGCCCCAAGTAGTATTTTAATACTTAATCTTTAATATTACCTTTATTCTGGAGTCCAGTATTTTAACACTGGACTCCGGAATATAGATAATATTAAAGATTAGGTGCAATGGCCACACCATTGGATTTCCATACACACAGCAGAAGGCTCCAGCATTTGGTCCCATTCACTTCCCAAAATTGCACTGGAAGGTCTCCCAAGCAAGCTTTAAGCAGTGTCTCTTTTTCCTAGTGACTGGTCAAAACCCTGCAAAATTAATCAGACGAGACATGTCTATGTATCCCGGTCAATTTTTTGGCCATAAGTTAGGGACCTGAGAAAAGACTCACAAGTTTCTGGACAAGGAAGAAGTCTTTCTTATAGATAGCAATTCCCTTATTGAAGTGTTTCTTCTCAGCCACACTCCAGCTGTCTGACCCTGGAAAAAGAAAAAAGTGGAACGTAAATTCCATTCCATTCCTTATTTTCCAACACAAGTTTTTTCTTGTCAAGACAGATCTTACATGAACATTTCAGCTATCCTAATTCAATTAATTTAAAGATATTATTCTTGGATTAAATCAGAAGCCTTGCCAGATGGATTTTTTTTAATTAAGCCTTTTCGCTGGAATCTGATAATTAATTTTAAATGAAAATTAAAAAATTATATCCCTGAATACCCAAAATGCTGAAGTCTTATTCACAAATTGACAACATATAGAAACACATAGAAAATAGATTTTATAGACCTAAGGTAGTCCAAAACGTTTTGAGGGGTCCAGTTTTACAAATGAGGAAGTAAAAAAAATAATATCCCAGAAAGAAGTCATAACAAACCACTTTGGCATTCTGCTAGCAACACCGCCATGTTACATAGATTTGTCTGAATGGCGAGATAATTCAAGGGAAACTTTAGTTTGTTTTTCAACGTAAAGAAAGGAGCCAAGAAAAAACAAATTTGGAATGAAATGGAGGGATGTAAGTACTTCTCTTCACAATCATAACCTACTTTGAATCAAGTTTTGATTCAACTTTGAATCAAGGCAAGTATCTGCTTAGGGAAATGGGTTCTTAGGCGATCTGAAGTTGTACTACATGGACAAAAGACTCTGAAAGACTCTCAAAAGACTCTGTGGTTGGACAGCATCATTCTACATTCTATAGGGTCACACATGCCGCTGAGCATTTTCCTGCCCTGCCAAAAATTTAGTGACCTCAGATCAGTGCTAAGTAAAGAGTTCACAAGGACTGTGCACATCTCCCAACTATCTTCTTATGTAACATCAGAGCAGATTAGCCAGTGCTATCATGAGAGATGAGACAAGGAGGTTAGTATTTGGGGTAAATTCCAACACTGTATAATGGCATGCTCCTATATTTGTCACAATGCAAGTCTGTGTCACTCATCATCTCTAATCCGTTGGCATTTAAATTAACTGTAGATAGTCACATGTCATGGGTTTTGCCCAGTATGTAATTCATATAAATAATAAAATATTGTGCAGCAAGCAAAACTGAAAGTTTTTCAAATATTATTTCTATGAACCAAGAGAGGTTTAGATTTGTTTCTGTCAAATATTACAACCTGTGAACTGATACACACATAATGTACATTCAGGTTAGTTGTTCTAGGAGCAATCTACAGGAACACAATACATTTTCTCCCCATGCTCTCACTTCACCTGTTCACAGAAAAAGTGAACATAGCCTTTGCTCTTATTTAAATGAATTAAGATTTTACAGAGATCAGAAGGATTGCTGATAAAGGATTTGCTTATCCTCAAAAGTTCTCAAAGACACCCACAGGTTGCCAAATTTTCAGACTGTCGAACTAATTTCCGGTACTGCTAGTCTCTTTCCAGAAAGATCCTGGCTACTGATAAACCTGGTAATCCTTTCTGTTGTATCAGATAAAGTGAGAAGTATACATATCACAGGGTGACCTCAAAATTTATTTGCTTTTCAGAGAACTGTTCAAAACCACAAAATTTGTGTCCATTTTTTTCTTTAGCAGGGATAAAACCATCAGTAGGAATGGTGTGGTAAAACAGCCTGAGATTAAGGAAACAGCCAATGCCACTAAATCTAATATTCTAAATCTTGCTATCCTCTAGAACTGTTGGCTTACAAGTTCCAGAATTCCTAATTAGACTACTAATTCTGGGAGTTGTAGTCCAATCTACTTCAGAGGCAACAGGTTGGGGACAACTGTTATGTACAAATTTATTTCAATTATACTTAAGGTTCTTTAAACATAAAATTGCCATTTATTAATAGCTTGATTCGTCTTTTTTCCCCAATTCTCTATGCATGCACTCATGCACACTGGACCACAAAATGTTTTTCCAACTTTATTTCTAAAAGTAAACTGTGTTAAAGCCAGCTATAGCTTAAATTGGAGAATAGCAGTATCCTAAAATGAAGAAATTATCTCCTGCATGTAAAAATGTTCCTCCAATTTATCAGGGTGGTGATTCTAAAAGTTCCTTGTGCTTAAAATTGGGAAGGAGAAAAGGAACTGCAGTTATTATTTATTGCAACATACCAGTGTAGTGGTAATCTTCCAGCGGGTGGCTCAGAGGATGCACCGATTTCTTCAGCAGCATTTTGGTCAAAGCAGCCTGAAGGGAAAACAAAACCAGTTTCAGCTCAAATAATAAAACCAGAACAAGGTCATTATTTGCTAAACATCTTTGATCATTGCTGCTTAATTGCTGTGTATATTTAGGGTTTAGGGCCCACTTGATTAGTAAGATTCAGAGTGAATACCGTTGGCTAATTTATCCTTGCAACTAGCCTTTGAAATAAGTTAAGTGACACAGCCCCAGCCTGTTTAACAGGAACGAGGAATCATAGCACATTAAAGGCTAACAAACCCATCAGGGCTGTATTGGGCCAAAGTTCACGAAGATGCTGCTTTACAAACTTGCATAAGCCACTGAAAGCCTTTGGGCCATGAATGGTTCTCATTCAAATTTTTATTCATAATCCTCCCAGATATAAACCATCAAGACATTTGGCCAATGTATCATGGTTTATTGGGAGAGGAACAGACTAAGCCTCCTGGGCTTAGCTGTTTCCCTTCTTTTCTTTGTCAGAGTTTCTTCCAAAAATCAAATCCAGAAGCACACACAGACAAACTGGTTCAGCAGGATTCATTAACTTCTTTATATACAAGAATATATATACAATACCAATATAGATTCTTCTTACAAGCAAAACACAAGGCAGGAGAGAACAGTTAATTTCATTTCAGCAGAGCAGACAAGCATGCACAGAGTGCTTTCAGTTTCAATTTCTCAGCACAGACTCAGAAGCTGCAGACTAAGACACGCCCTGGCTCCAGTCTGTCTCAGCTCCCAATTGGCTGACTTAGTTGCTATGCCTAGTCATTGGATGACCTTGTTACCATGCCTATATTCCAGTTCATGAATATATACTCTGACTCTTCTACTGCTATTGCAATCCATTGTAGATTTATAGATAGTTCTCAACTTACAACCACTCATTCAGCAACTATTCAAAGTTATGACAGAACTGGAAAAAAATGTCTCTTGATCAGTCATCACACTTATGACCATCGCAGCAACCCGATGATTACGCAATCAAAATGTGGGTGCTTGGCAACCAGCTCATATTTACAATGGTTGTAGCATCCTAAAGTCATGTGATCACGATTTGCGACCTTCCCAGTCATTTTCTGACAAGCAAAATCAACAGGGGAAGCCAGATTCAATCAACAAGAGCCAGGGGAAGCCAGATTCAATCAAGAGCCTTGGTGGTGCAGCAGACTAAAGCACTGTTAATAATACCAGCTGCCTGCAATTATTGCATGTTCAAATCTCACCAGGCTCAAGGTTGACTCAGCCTTCCATTCTTTCGAGGTAGGTAAAATGAGGACCCGGTTTGTGGGGGCAATAAGCTGACTTTGTATAAAAAAGAACATCGGGGGGGGGGGCGAAAGCCCTACTAAGCAGGTATATACAAAAGTATGAAGGCTATTGCTTAACCCACTGTAAGCCGCCCTGAGTCTCCGGAAAAGGGCGGCATATAAATCGAACCAATAAATTGAAATCGAACCAATAAACAAACAACTACGTATGTGAGTCACTTAACAACTGAAGGGATTCGCTTAACAACTGTGGCAAAAAAGATAGCAAAATTGGGTATGACTCACTTAACAATCATCTTGTTAGCAATAGAAATTCTGGTCTCAATTGAGGTCATAAGTCAAGGACCACCTGTACTAAATTTAACATTTATGCTTTTTTGAAACAGGTTTAAATCATGTTTTTTTTAAAAACTAATCTATTAATCCTGCGAGAATGAAAATTACCCATGATAAAACTGCTCGAGCCAGTTAGAATAATGGGCTCAACTGTACTCAAGAACTGAATGATTTTACAGGTAGTTTTTGGGTTACAATGGAACCAGAATTGCCATTGCTTAGTGACCTAGACAAAAAGTGCAACATCACAACAATTCATTGCTTAGTGACCAGCAGTTCTGGTGGTCCCAGTTGTTCATGTTCCATGAAGATCATACAGTCATGTGAGGATTTCATTTGCCCGCCGCTTCCAATTTCCTTGATTTTGCATGTGAGAAGCTGTCAAAAATTGGGATCACATGATATTATAATCACAATGTTATAATTGTGAACCAGACATCAAGCAGCTCGGTTGTAATCAAACAACCATGGGGGTGTTGCGACAACCGCAACTACGAGGATTTGCGCCCCTCATTCAGCACAATTACAAGACTGCTGAATAAGACTGAACAGCTACTGAATAAATGGTCATTACCACCTGTAATCTCCTTGGTAACTTTTGGGGTGAAGTAATGATTGCTAAATAAAATGATGTCCCAAGAAAACTGTGCCTTACATTGTCATCCAAATGCATTCCTATAATAAGTCTTACGTACAGGATTTCATTTGCTCCCTTTTGTTCCTCTTGAGGTTCAGCTTAATCCTGTATATAAAAAATAATTAAATATCTATTCCTAAACTATGTACCTCATTTGATAATGATGCCTGCTAACTTATGCCTAACAATAACAATTAAAAAAAGAAAACCAAGAACTCTGAAGAGGTCTTAAATCATCATTCTTTGCAGAATCAGTTAACGCCCATGTTTAATCATGCCCAAGTAAACAGTATTTCACAGCAAGAACATAAATAAATGCCAAAATTATTCTAGGCCTTCCAGGAAATCAACAGAGTCAAGCACAATGTAGCCACATATTTCCAACATCTGTTTTTCTCTCTGAGAATATTATCAAAAGCTACATATGCTACCTTAATTGTTTCTAGTTAAATAGTTGTATTACACAGATGGAATTTATAATTCAGTTTCTCCAAGGTGACACCAATCCCATGCTAGTATTAGACAGTCAGTCCTTAGAAGCTAACAGATAACCTGAATTTTGTCTATGCTGACCAACTGCAGCTCCTCAGGGTTTCAAATGAAAGGCTTTCCAGTCCTATAATGGAGGTAGTAGTAGTGAATGGGGGACATTCTGAATGTAAGGATCTGCTCTAGCATGGGATGGGTAAGACAGCTAAGCCATAATGTCATTTATCCAGTTCTGCTTATTCTATGAATCCAGTCACTGCAGTTAGTAAAACATAGTTAGTAACTATGAATCCAGTCACTGCAGTTAGTTTATAGCATATAGCAATAGCACTTAGACTTATATACTGTTTCACAGTGCTTTACAGCCCTCTCTAAGAAGTTTATAGAGTCAGCATACTGCCCCCAACAATCTGGGCCTTCATTTTACCCACCTCAGAAGGATGGAAGGTGGAGTCAACCTTGAATCTGGCGAGATTTGAATTGCCAAATTGCAGGCAGCCAGCAGTCAGCAGAAGTAGCCTGCAGTACTGCACTCTAACCACTGCACCACCACGGCTCTTTATGGCTTCGCATGTTGAATAAACCCAACCAATTATCATTTATTCAAAAAAAGTGTCAAGCAAAGTGTAGCTTTGGTAATACTCCCTGCAGTATTAACTTACAGCAACTTTCTCCAACCTGTTACATGTGCTGGCTAGGAATACTAGAGGGCGCCAGGTTGGGAAGGCTGACCTACCAATAGTAAATGTCTATGGAGCTGAAGTCTTCAAACTGAAGAAGTTGGATGAGAAGTGAAACGTCTTCAAGGAGAAACAAAGTCCAGTTGACTTTTGAAAAAGCACCGTTGGGACTATCAATAGCAAGTTTATGATGGACTACAGGCAAATGCATCATGAGCAACAGAAGGAAAATGGAAGATACCAAGAAGAGCTGCCAACAGCTCTTGATTTGACCCAAGTATAGGTAAAATATAGAACGCATTATCATGAATGTATTAACAACAGAGTAGTAAAACCGTTTGCAAAGCCATTAGGCAGCCTATATAATACTGTTAAGTCCTTGCTAGACATCAGAATTTTATATTTATCAGCAAACTTTCCAGTCCAATCAGAGGTTACTGGAGTCTTACCACGATGTCTCCTTTTGCTTCATGTAAGCAGTGAAATGCCAGCTCTTGATTGGTACCACCTCCAGGAAATATGCTTGAACATGCCGCTGTTATCAGGTTGTCCACTGTTATATTTAAAAGAAAGTTCCACAGTGTTATGAAATAGATAGATGGAATAAACAACCAGCAAATATATGTACAATCTGGCTGATAACACAGGCAAGCTTCCCATCATTTTGTGATGAATGGTTCTCCCAATCCTTAACTGGGAACCTATTGTCTTCACAGTGTGATTGCATCTTAGTTTCTACATCACTTCTGACCATTGGCCATGCTGGCTTGGGTTGATGGATACCAACATTCCATAGAGGACCAAAATGGTCAATTTCCACCTTCATGTTTCCCAGTAACAGGGATTAATCTCGATGTCCTGTTTTTTGCTATGATATTGTCATATTCATCCCATTTCATTCAGGGGCAGAAGAATACTTCCATTTTATGAGAAAAGTATGCCTGCAGGTCATTTTCATCCCTTACTGGATAAGCAGTGGAAATAAAGGACAAAATATCCAATTAGCTTTGATTTTGCTTTAGAATGTTGGGATCCAGAAGATAAGTACTACTTCTAAAATTTGCGATGATGTGAATTATGGGACAGCCAAATTATGTGATGATGTGAATTATGGGACAGCCAAAGAGAAGAAGGTCCAAAAATACAAAGCATGGCCTTTTTTGAGGCAAGCCCATCTTTAAGCAAGCCAATCACATCACATTAAATTTAGTACAAACGTCATCTTTAGCTTTTATGGAAAAGCAATAGCTTTTCCATAGCTTAATTTAGCTAGTTTACTTGCCTACTAGCATTTTGAGACAGCATCTGACTCCGCATGATTTTTTTCTCATTTAACATTCTGCTGGTGTCTGTCTAATTTTTACCAAAGCTTTTTAAAGAGAGGATAAAAACGAACATAAAGATAATGTAAGGAAAAAAAGAGAAAAAGAAAGCAAAGAAAAAGCAAAAAGTGCAAGAAAACAAAAAAAGTTCAAGAAAAATAGGAAAAAAAAGTGGCTTCCAATATTCTTCACAGCAGGTATATTTTAATCTCTCTCTAAAGTTACATTATAACACTCTTTATTTCTAAAAGCCATACCATCTTATCATCAAAACCATAATCACAAGTTCACAATTTTTACACAAAAATCATCTAGAATCTTCTCTGTACTTTCAACATTGGAGCAGATTTTGAGGAGGGAGGTGAACTGCAGGAAGAGAAGCTGTCAGTGGAAGACCCCATTTTTTTTAAAAAAAAATTTGGTCAGATTGACGACTTTGTATGCTGCTGATGAATTTACATGTTTTTTTAAAACGTGGGACAAAATGACAAAGAATAATTTTCATTATTACAATTACTCTCAAGTTTCCCACTTTCACAATGATTTTCTATTGAGTGTTTCTTGCTCTGAACGTCCCTTCTCGACAGTTCATTCAATGACCATTCAAAGTTACAACATCACTGAAAAAAGTGACTTATGACCGTTTTTCACATTTACAACAGTTGTAGCATCCCCATGGTCATTCAAGATGCTTGACAATTGACTCATATTTATGACAGTTGCAGTGTCCAGGAGTCTTTTGCGACCTTCTGGACAAGCAAAGTCAATGGGAAAACCAGATTCCCTTAACAACCATGTTATTAATTTAACAACTGCAATGATTCACTTAACAAATGTGGCAAGAAAAGTCGTAGAATGGGGCAAAACTCACTTAACAAATTTCTCACGTAACAACCTAAATTTTGGGCCCGATTGTGGTTGTAAATTGAGGACTACCTCTGCAGTCAATCAAAGGCCATCAACTTGGTTGACTGTCCAGTAACTTTTAGAAGTTCTATCACCTCCCTCCTTGTTTTCATGGCCATTCAGATATACATTTATTATTATTTTTTTTACCATTCTCCTGGATTGCTGGATTATTTTCCAGTTCCTCCCAGGGCTGCCACACCAACTGCTCCTTGGCCACATCGGAAGCTGCCAGAGATTGATCTCGAAGCAGTGGGATTTCTGCTTGAAACCGAGACCCCACATTGATCCGCCTTAAACAATAAATGAACATCAACAAAGTGATACACCAAAGCAGAACCTGCTTATCTGAAACAAAGGACAGTTTCACGGGTGACCGTGATGTGAAATAGATATAATAATCTGTTCCCAGATCTACTTCAACCATTTCAACTGCCTCAACATAAAAGATTCTTCTTTTATACTCTTAGCAAGCCAACATATGCTAATTAGGAGACATTCCCCCTATTTAAAAATAGGGGGGGGAAATTCAGAAGCTTTCAATAAAGAAAACAGCTGTAATCTGTTTACTTACATATAAGAAGACCCAAATATGGCTAATTTTTTCACATATGCTTTTATCATTCTATACAACTCATCTGCTATGTGATAATTGCTAACTATGTTATTAAAATGCTAAGTGATAATTATGGAAAAATCAAGGGACCAGTCCAAGACAGGACTGCTTGTTAAATCTTCATATCAGACAATTTCAACTCTAGTGCCTGAAGATTAAATCATTGCTAAACTGTTCCATTTGTTTAATGGACTTGGTATCACCATAACCTATTTCAGAGTAAAAAGCCAGAGAGCAACCCCCTTGCTAGGACAAGAGGAATAAGCAACACATACATATTTAAATAATTTCCTCAACAGATATAAACATGAACGTATGAGTGTGTGTGCTTATGATATAGACGTATATTCAAAATGCATTTGTAGCAGGACTGCAATCTGCCATCTACAAACAAATATGGCTAAAGAATACTACAACTAAACATAATGTAGGCTGAGTTCCTAGGTTATTTTGAAGAAATGGATAAATATTATTAGTCTAGAAGCTGGCTTAGTTACAAATATTAACAATATTATCCTGGAATTATTCAGGTTGTGTTTTGCTTATAAAAGTGATTCTTTTAAGCCTTGAAAGGGTTTGGATTTTTTTTCCAAGACTCTAAGAAGGATCAGCTGTGGTGTTTAAATACAGTTTCTATCTACAGATACTGTTGTCGGACCAGAAGTAAGGCTCCTAATCACAGGCTCCTGCAACAAAACTGCAATTATGTCAAAATGACAACATGAACACATATCGCAACTTCAGGTAGAAATAATGTACGTTGTGTGGTTTGTATCATGACTTCTTGTGTCACTCCCTATTCTCACCCTGTCATGGATGCCTATGTTCCTAATAAAGCCTTCATTCATTCTACATTCTTGCTCAATCGCGTATCCATTTCTGTAGGAAATCAGGAGAGAAAAAATACTGGGCTCAGTCATTCCCACTACTCAAAGCCCTTTGCATCAGTCAAGAGGTAAGAGATTTTTAACAGGTATATGATTATATGCTTAATTAGAACACCAAATAAAATGTCTTTTTAAAAAGAAAATCTGCAAGATAGCAATTCTTATCCAAATGTGTCTATGGAGATCCTCAGTCATCCAGGTCATGGTTGTCCCAAAGGTGCTTTTTCAAAAAGCAACTGGACTTTGTTTTTTCCTTGAAGATGTTTTGCTTCTCATTTAAGAAGCTTCTTCAGTTCTGGCTTCAAAACTGAAGAAGATTCTTGGATGAGAAGCGAAACGTCTTCCAGGAAAAATGAAGTCCAGTTGCTTTTCGAAAAAAGCACCTTTGGGACTTATATTAGGAAGTGTCTCTACACTGAAATGGTGTTATGAACTAGCAGGAAACGGTGATTTTACTTTGCCTGCTTCTCCATACTGATGAATATTAATGGTTCCGCAAATGACGGTCTTTAATAAAGCCTGTCTCAAGATACAATAGTGAAGGAAGAACCATTTTTGGCCTAAGGATCAGATTGCCCTGGGTAGGAAAGTAGTCTGGGAAGCAATACCACGAAGAGTCATTCTTGCCATACAATCCTGGCCCTCTCATGCACACACATATACACAAATTTACATTATGTGTAGGGAGTCGGTGATTCTCCAGCTGATATACTGGAACTTTCAGCATCCTCAACATGGGCCACATTGCCTGAAACTATTGAAAGTTGCAATTAAGCAGCATCTTGAGGCCTCCACATCTCTTACCTCAGTTCACACCCTTACTTCACACTTCACTCTTCAACTGAGCTGGGAAAACTAAGTGAATAGAAGAACATCTTCCTTCCTTCCTTCCTGGGCTAACAGAAGCTAAAGTTCTCAGGAATTAAGTTAGGGAAAAGGCTTCTCATATGACGAAGAAGACAGCTCTGTCACTAAATAATCGTGCTCTATATTTTTTCAATTGAATACTTACGGTTCAATGCTGACGGGAGTGCACTCTCCCATTACTGAGAGGACAGGAGGGGTGGCTTCTGTACTGTCTTTAAGAAAAAAATCATTTAAGTAAATATATAATCCAATCAATCTAAAAGACTGATGATGATGTACTAACTTAGATCAAGTTTTGATTATAGACTGCACATAATTACCATGGTATAAACAAATATTTTCCAACCTGGCACCCTCCAGATTCATTGGCAATGTCCAGAATTCCCAGCCAATTGTCCTGGAAATTGTAATGTAACTGGAGAATGTCATTATGAGACCCTAGCTAAGCAAAATCCAAGATGCTTCAGCCTGAACAAACTCCCCAAATTCATGAGGATTATCTACAACTGTCAGCTGTTATCCATTCCTGGAAATCCTCCCATCCCAACCCATCAAGAACGTTGTCCAGAAACTTACTAGATCTGAGTAGGGTCCTGTGAGCAGCTTTTGGAGTCATTGGAGGTGGAACTGCATTGCCGGTAGCAGAAAGGAAAGCATGGAAATATAGTCCTGAGCCCTCTCGTACTGGGCTGAGAATGGGCGGGGGAGTATAAGGAGGTAGCTCAAAGTTCCTATCGGAAGGGTGATCCGCTAGACGGACAGGTGAACGCAAGTGGCTCTGGTACGGTGTGATATTGGAATAGACTGGTGGAGCAATGAATGTGCCAGCTTTGGGGGGTATGAAAAGAGGTTCTGGTCTTGGTCGTTGCTTTGGCTTCCGTGCAAAACCATCCACTTCTTTTGGAGCGGCGCCTTCGTGCTATGTAAACATATAAAAAAAGAAATATGCTTTGTCGCTCGTAAAGGAAAGTATTTTATGTCTCAAAACCTTCCCTGCATCTCTGAAACAATGAACTGTCCCTTGTGTTCTTCTGTTCACAGAAATCTGTTCAATTCATTAGGGACCGCAAAGGGAAAGGGAGAGGATTTTTTCTTTCCTCTGCCCAGTTTAGTAAAGGTGGGATAAAAATAAAATAAATAAAAATAAGCCATTATTGGGCATGGACTGTGAGGACTGTGTATGAAAGACTGTATGTTCAAGGACAGGGAGATGTAAACCAAGCAGCCAAAATATACTGGCATTTTGTTTGTTGTTTCTATCAGAACTGGGGAGGGGATGATGGCTTAGCGGTTAAAGACGCTGGGCTTGTCAGCTGGAAAGCTGATAGCCTGGGTTTGAGACCCGAGCGCTGTGTAATAGGGTAAGCTTCCATTCTTGCCCCAACTCCTGCCCACTTAAGCAGTCCAAAAGCATGCAAATGCAAGTAGACAAATAGGTACCATTTTGGTGGGAAGGTAACGGCATTCTGTGTGCCTTGGCTTATAGTCATGCTGGCCATATGACCACGAAAGTGTATCTGGATGATGCTGGCTGCCTCAGCTAAGAATCAGAGAGGAACAATTCCCCCTAGAGTCAGACATGACTGGACAGGGGAAACCTTTACCTAATCCACGTATTATTTCAATGCAAACTATCCAATACATACAGCTTTGGTCCTCAAAGAGAACACCCCTTAGTCCTTCCTTGTTTCCCTTTTTCGCCAGTCGAGGAAAGAACTGGAGAAACAAATCGGTCACTAAGTCAACCTATCTTTGAATATTAAATACTGCACAGCAATAAAAGATCTATTGCAGTTTCTGAACCAGGTCACAGTAATTGTCTACAGCCTGAGACCCTCTGAGTAAGTTGCCTCAACCAACAGCTAGTAGGCTCCATGTTCATGGAAATATAGAGCTAGAGCTTGAGTCGCCATGGCAGCAATATAAATCCAATAAATAAATAAAAATAAATAAATAGAAAGAAGTATTTAGGCCAGTGAGCCCAACCTCGAGTCCCACATGAAACCAAACCAAACTGTCTATGACAGCCAGATGTTTAGTTGCTCTCTGTACACATTCAGTGAAGAGCAGCCCACCAACCTCCTTAGTCAATGGCTCCACTGTTAAAGCACTCATCCTATTTCCTAAGACCAAGAGAGAGTTGCCTTGGGAAGGCTGACTGTTGACATAAAGGGAAATGTATACAGGAAGATTAACATCTCTAGCCCTCAAATCTACCTGAGCTGATGAGTCCATATTCAAATTACGATTGGACCTCCTCCGGGTGACAATCACAGAAGGCTTGCTGTCTGCAATCCCATGATCATTAACCGAGAACCGCTGCTGCTTCCCATCCTCGCCCTTTTCCCTGGTGATATCTTGAGCATCCAGCTTCTTCACTGGTACAGACACTGGAATAATGAGAGGCACATGGCTATTATCCTCCCGGATTCTCTTTGGGGCTGGGGAAGAGCTGGCAAATTCTACAACACTCCTTGGTGCAGCAGCTGTTGCCTCACTCTTGTTTTTTTCTTCTGACATTTCAGGTTCCTGAAATTAAAAAAAAGCATGTGCACATTAAGGTATTTGGTCTTTGAAAATGACACATTGAAAACTGATATTGTCTCTTTCCAGTGAGTGAAGATAGTAAATTGGCCTTCCTTTCAATAGGTAACATCTCACACTGTACCAAGCCATGGTTTGTTTGCTGAAAGAACAATTGTTCTTCACTTATAGTTAAGTAATAAACTGTGTCCTATAAACATATCAAGCTAAGCCAAAAACAAATCACATCTTGTCAATGCAGACAAGAGTTAGAGATGGGGACATTGGCCTTCAAACAACAGAACTAAGTGAAAAAGAAATTACTGTTTAGAAACATTGCAGAGATAAAAAGTTGAATACAACCATTCATAAATACACCAGTGTTACACACACACACACACACACTCAATCCTCAATTCTTTTCTTTCAGTCCAAGGGGTCTTACCACTTTACTATTTCTTGTTTATATCCCATGGCTTGATAACTTTTTTAAAATAGCTTACAAAATTACCAAGTAAAATCACAAACAAACCATACTAAAATATCAAATTTCAGAAGAACCAATCAATTTCCAATGAATTCATATTTTGTTTTGTTTTGCACTTCTGTAATAGAAAGGAGGCTATTTGAATCGTGTAAATAATTAACGGCCATTCTCTTATTTTTATTTATTTATTTATTATTGATTGATTGATTGATTGTTTATATTTATATACCGCCCTTCTCCCGAAGGACTCGGGATGGTGAACAGCCAACAGATAAAACACAAGAAACACAAAATTTAAAAACAGTATTAAAATCCGATTAAATTAATTTGGCCCACAATTAAAAGCACCCCTGTATTAAAACCCATAATTAAGCAGTTTAAAAATTAAAACAATTTAAAAGAGTTAGGCCAGCCCGGCTTGTTGGAATAGATATGTCTTTAGGGCACGGCGAAAGGTGCGTAGATCCAGGATCCGCCGTTATCTCTGGGGGCAGCTCATTCCAGAGGATAGGTGCCCCCACAGAGAAGGCTCTCCCCCTGGAGGCCACCAGTCGGCATTGTTTGACAGACGGCACCCTGAGAAGCCCCTCTCTGTGGGAGCGTACTGGTCGGTGGGAGGCTATCGGAGGCAGAAGGCGATCTCGTAAATACCCGGGTCCTAAGCCATGGAGTGCTCTAAAGGTGGTAACCAATACCTTGAAGCGCACCCGGAAGACCACTGGGAGCCAGTGCAGCTTGCGCATGAGAGGTGTTACATGGGAGCGCCGATTCGTCCCCATAACCACCCACTTGGCCGCATTCTGGACCAGTTGGAGCCTCCGGGTGCTCTGGGACGTGACGAGAGCATGAGTGACCATGCGTAAGGCATCCCGATCCAGAAAGGGATGCAACTGGCGGATCAGCGAACCTGATAAAAAGCCCCCTGGCCACAGCCATCATATGCTCTTCTAAAGACAGCCGTGTATCCAGGAGGACGCCCAAGTTGCGAGCTCCCTCTGTGGGGGCCAATGACTCGCCCCCAATAGTCAGCGATGGCACCAACTGACTATATCTTAAAGTTCATTGGTGAAAGACAGCTTTTTCATGAAGAGGGGAAACCTGGGTGGACTTTCCAAAATGATCTCCATTCCTATTTTCCCCTTGTGGAATATTTCTCATAGGGCTGCTGGCAGTAGATGGCACTCTGGAAGGCATAAAAGCTTGGGTGTGCATTTAGACTCTCCTTTCCTAGATGTTCTCCAGATATCTTTATCAGACTCTTTGAGTATTCTGGGAATATTCTTTTAGATTGTATCGTTTTAGTGAAGAGTGGCACAGGCAAATGTCAGTAGGACATAATAGGTAATATCTAATACTTTTCATATGAAATTAATGCATAAGCACCCCTTTGTGTGTAATGAAAGACATCTAATATCAGGATGACCCATGGTTTGATCTGGCTCTAACTACATTACAAATAACTTTCAATGCAGCTTCCAAAATTTTGCACCCTTCCACCCAACTTGCCTAAAATAAAATGCTTTCTTCTTCAGCATTTAGTTTGAAATTATCTTAAAGCTGGGCTTAATTTGTTAAGCAAAGTAATCCATTTTACAAGTATGCACCCAAGCAACTGCAAGCCTCAAGCTTATGCAGCACTTTATCCTTTTATTTGCCCAACAAAAGGAGATGGCCAGAAACTTCCAACAACATTTGTTGAGTGAATCTGGCCAATGCTGGTGTGCAGGAGAGCTATTACTTTGAAATTACTCTTCTAGGAAAGAAATAATTTCACCATGGAAACAAAAATCATATCATTTTATGCATAAGTGGGTGAACGTGTAGAAACATTTGGAACACTATATTGGAATTATTTATATGCAATGCAATGCAGACCAAAGAGTAGGATATACTATTATGTAATGCACCAGTGTTACATACAATGGAATACCCAGGTATTCCTTTTATTACATCCAAACATCAAATGAAATCTTCTACACTTGTCTATGACATCCTTCCCAATTTGCTGTATTGCAGTATTTCTGAAATAAGACTCTCATAATTTCCTACTAGCATGGCCAAGATTTTTGGGGAATGACTAGTACAGTATAAGCAATCAACCCCAAAAGGAGCATCACAGATAACTTATATATTATACACAGCCTGAGTTTTTGCTTTTTTCTTTGTTTATTAGGCATATATCATCCTATGTGCTTGGAGATCATGCTAGATACAAGATGAAACATAACCATAAATATGGCAACTATCTGAAAGTTTGTGTTCTATTAAAGAAAATGCATAACAAATCTTTGAGCAGTAGGCAAGAGAAATTCAATTATTATGATTCCATAGACCTGCTGTTTAAACCAAAGTAGTGAAACCATTCAAGTTACTAATGTATTTTTAAAGAAAAGGGGTCTTACTTCTGAAATCAGTGTAATATTGGCATGTGGTACTGTTTTGGCAGTTCACTATCCATAGCAAAACTATTTAAACTTTAAAAAATGAGTGTGCAAAAAAGGAGATTTAAAAACCTTTCGAATTTCAACTAAAATGAAAAATATGTTAGCTCGTATTCCTGAGAAATCTCAACTAAACATTTTCTCCAAACTGGTGCTTGTTCCCCAATTTTTAATTGCTTTTAATTTTAAGCAGTTTTTTAGGCAACTGAACAAATTAAAAATGATGGGATATGGGAGCAAGGTAGACACTAGAAAAAACAAAGAAAAAGTCAGAAAGAAAGTTTTTTTTTTTTTAAATAAGTTTTGTGACCACCTCAATATGGCAAAAGATTGTATAATGTTTCAATGTTTCATCAAGCAATTTGTTTAAAATACACAAAAGAAATGAGATAGGAATAGGGAATGCCATTATGGTAGTACTCTGGCTACAACTAAACAGAGAGCCCAAGATTTCAAAGTATAAGAGAGATTTTTTGGGGGGAGGGGGCTTTGACTAAGCCTGCACTAGTCTCTGCAGTTTTCTTGGCAAGATTTTTCAGAAATAGTTTGCCACTGCATAGTTCCTAGGATGGAGAAACAGTGACTGTCCCAAGCTCATCCAATTGGCTTTGTGCCTAAGGTGGAATTAGAACTTACTGTCCCCTGTTTCTAGCCTGGTACTTAACCACACTATGCCAAACTGGCTCTCATAGGGAAGGATATAAATAGGTGTTATGTGTTTTTATTATCATAAACCTTTAAGACCACAAGGTTGGGAGATTGTCGATTGTATAATGGCAAGTTACTTCTTACTTAATGGAAGTCACAACTGTGGAGGATTAGTTAAAAATTTGGAGAACATGCCTAATTTCCCATTATTTCTACTGCTAAGAAAACTTATTTACATGCTAATATTTATACAAAGGGGTATTCTATTCTATTCTGTTCTGTTATGTTCTGTTCTATTCTCTATTCTAGTCTTATTCCTATTCCCATCAATCAATCAATCAATCTACCCACCCATCCATCCATCTATCAAAAAACCTTTCTTCAATTAATATAGGAGTTTATATGCATTTCCTAAGATTTTTTTCTCTCTCCTCTTTCTTTGCTTTCTGGATATTAAAGATATAGAAAAAGTCAAGTTATTCTTTTTTTAAAAAAAATACACTGTACACTGGTTAATTGAGTGCACTGGTTAAATCAAATTATTTTTCCATTTTTAGATGAAAAACACAAATATTTTGCCCCATGGCAAACAGAAAATGCAGTAACAAAGCCACCTACAACAAGGCCATTATCTGGCAATAAAGTTATTTCCAAATATGGCACTATTGTAGGTGGCTGTGTAGATAGGTATTGTACTACTGTAAGTGCTATTGTAGGTAGGTAGTGTACTATATTTAAAAAAAAGAGGTAAAGTTCAAAAGATACAGGGGCAAAAGTGATGCTAGACTTCAGCAGAATCAATGCAGGTTTAGAGAGGGGTGAGAAGAAAGACTTTAGTTTGTTCTTATATGTTATTTAGGCACTAGAACTTATATGATTTGTGTAACCATCATATCAATCTGTTATTTGAAAAGAACTGCAGGATTTTGGAGATAGCTATTTTTGCAGGAGTTATTCAAAAGGAATTTGGAGGACAGTGAAAGAGCCTTAGTTATAGGAAAGTAGATTCTATCTGAGTATTAAGAAAAGTCCTTATGATTAAAAAGTTCAGTGGTAGAACCAATGATCTTTAGAAGTGTCTTGCTTTCTATTGTTGGTCAACTTATTGTTGGGAACAAGCAGGCAACTGGACTTCTTAAGTGGCCCTTTCTTAATGATTCTGGGCCTCTAAGTCCCTTATTCATCTGTGGACTAATATGCAAAGATTCTTAGCATGGCGGATATTATGGACCACTGATTATCAAAGCTGAAGTCAATTTGCTGCCATCTGACTGATAAGTGCTCAGTCTAAATCCATTAGCTGGATTGTAGTTTTCATTTCTACTTTCCAAATGTGCTTTCCTTCCATTTATAAATATAAATGGTGCAGCTGATTTGAGAAAGAGAACAGAAAAATGCTTCTCTCAGGCAGCAATTCTTGATTTGACTGTCCATTTCTATTCCGCAGAAAGGGATAGACCGGTGTTTTCAAACTTGGCACCTTTAAGATGTGTGGCCTTCAACTCCCAGAATTCTGAGAGTTGAAAAGTCCACACATCTTAATGATGCCAAGTATGAAAACCACTGGGATACACTATTATTGTTGATTTGAGTACATGCATGAATTTTCTCTTCTCCTTCAATTGGCAGAAATATGGTATGTGAGGAAAACAAAAAACAAAACTCTGAAAATGAGATAAAAGTTTGTAAAGACACATCTCTGAAGAAAACAAATAAAGTGGCTGCCAGCTACTTCCAACTGTTTAGGAAATGAAGAAGAGTAACAGTCACAGAACAAGTCAAGAGATATCACTTACCCTGATATTCTGAAGAGAAGCCAACTCAACAGCTTTCTGAGCCAGAGTTAAGAGGTTGGCCTCTTGAGAAATACGCCGTCTCCTCCGGGTACTCTGGATGACTCCTCCTCTAACTGCACCAAAGTCGTTTGTTCTCGGACCAATGCCATCAGCGGCAGCCACCTGTTTTCCTGCTTCTTGCGCATTCTCATACATGCCCATCATCTCCATGTCAGGCTGGCTCGGTTGACTCCCCGATGGCATATCCCTACGCTCTAGTTCTGCCCTACCTAGTTGCGAATAACTTTCTTTGTGACTGAACATTTCAGACTGAGGTTGGAACTGGACTTCCGGATGTTGCTGTGATGGCCAGGGGTGGGTTGGCACAATGTTCCCAGGGTAATCCTCAACTGTCTTGGAGACCAGTGTTCCTTCTCCAGAAGGTACTGGTGGGACACCTTCCTTGGAGAGCCTGCGTGATCTCCTTGGGAGATTGATTTGTGCCTGTGGTAGAACCGCCTGGGGGTTCTGCTCTGTCAGAGCCTTCAGCAACTCCTGATTCCTCTCAGAAACTGGGTGGAACTGATGGGAAACCATATGATGCTGAACAGACTGAGGGGATGCTCCCAGATGTGACTGTGGCATAGAAGCCGATTGCTGAAGGCCAAAAGTCTGCACTCCTGTCTGTTGTTGTTGGTGGTGGTGATGGTGCTGCTGCTGTTGGGAATAATAGTTTTCAAACAGCTGCAACTGTGGAAGAGCTTGCTGTTTCTGCTGGGCAGTAAAAGCTGGGCTGGAAGATGTGGGAGCCTGTTGAAGAACATGCAATAACTCAGGAAGACCCTGCTTCTGGCCCTGCTGACCAAAAGCCAGCTGAAAAGGTTGCAAAGAGAGGCTTTGATTTTGTTGCTGTTGCTGCTGCTGTTGCTGCTGCTGCATTTGCTGGAAAGAGGTCATCTGGGCTTGCTGCCTGGCCAATGCTTGCTGTTCCAACTGGGCCTTTTGGGACAACATCTGCTGGACAGCATCTCCATACAAGTTCAGCTGTGATACCACTCCCCCTTTCTCCCTGTTTCTTTTCAGGGCATCTGGGTGGCCATAATAATCTGTGATGCTGGCATTAGGATGTCCTCCTTTCTGGTTGCCACCATAAACTATGCCATGGTTCCACCCTCCGGGCTGAGGCTGCCAATTTGCCTCACTTCGCTCAGGTAGCCGGTTTCCCATTAGGGAATTCTGCCACTTGACAGCAGCCAATTGCTGGGGTGTCATCCTCACCTCCCCTCTGTCCTGATACATTGAATTCAGCAATGCAGCATTGCTGGGAACGCTGCTGAAAACCCCAGCCTTGGTCAGCTCCATGGACTGGGTGGGAGGCACATTCCCTCCATGACCATAATACTGTCCTTCTTTTAGCTGCTGCTGTTGCTGCTGCTGGTGAGCTTCTTTCAGGAGAGCATCTTGCTCACTAAAAAATGCAACCCGCTTTCCAGCTCTTTTATTTGAAGACTTTGGCTGAGCCTGAAGACTCATGATTTGGCGCCTCTTAAAGTCAGATCAGCAACCAACCCATTGCAAACTCAAGAGCAGAACGGAAGGTAGAACGTATGAAGCCAACAGAGGGCTCTCCTCTTGCTAATCCATGCAGAGTTGGAAGGGGTGGTGGGTCCCAATTTGTAACTTAAAAGGATGCCAAGATCCAACGGTTTCACTCCCTGAAACAGAAAAAGCACTGTTAATAGCCAAAATAGCAAGAGAGATCTGATGTATTTAACTTTCTTAATTTAGGCAACTGCTTTAAGAGTAAGGTTCAGGTAGTCCTTGACTTACAACAGTTCGTTTAGTGACTGTTCAAAGTTACAACAGCACTGAAAAAAGTGACATGACTGTTTTTTACACTCACGACTGTTGCAGCATCCTGATGATCATGTAATCAAAATTCAGATGCTTGATGGCAACTGACTCATGTTTATGATGGTTGCAATGCCCCGGGATCACGTGATCCCCTTTTGCAACTTTCTGACAAAGCAAAGTCAATGGGGAAGCCAGATTCACTTAGCAACCATGTTACTCACTTAACAACTGCAATGATTCACTTAACAACTGTGGCAAGAAAAGTCATAAAATGGGGCAAAACTCACTTACCAAATGTCTCACTTAGCAACATAAATTTTAGGCGCCATTGCGGTCATAAGTCAAGGACTACCGGTATATCCAAAATCCTTACATTTTCTGGATCCCTCTATTTAAAGCAGATCAAAATACAGGTAGTCTTGGTTTAGCAACTCAACTTGGTCATTAAGCCCTTACTTATCAATGGGGACCAAGTGCAGCAAGTGGCCAGTTTTAAGTTTCTGGGTGTTATCATAAAAGAGGCCCTGACCTGGGGCACTCACATTGCAGCACTGGTCAAAAGGGCCCAGCAGAGATTATACTACCTGAGACTTCTCAGGAAACAACAACTGAATGAAAAATTGCTGGTGGCTTTCTATCGCTGTACCATAGAGAGTATTTTAACTTACTACATCTGTGTATGGTTTGTCAATTGCACAATGGCAAATAGGACAGCACTCCAGAGGGTCAACGTCATTGCCCAGAGGATCATTGGTTGCCCTCTCCCCTCTTTGGAAGAGCTTTATAGCTCCCACTGCCTTAAGGAACTTCAAAACATTCTTAAAGATCCATCTCATCCTGGGCACCCTTTTTTTGAACTATTACCATCTGGCAGACGGTACAGGGTAATAAAAACAAGGACAAATAGGCTGAAAAACAGCTTCTATCCCAGGGCAATAACCATATTGAATTCTACAGTATAGTGCAATATCGGGTTTTCAATTTCAATTATATGGAATGTAAAGGATGTATGTTTGTGTTTTTATTTTTATAATTATAATGTACACTGAAGATGGCATTTAATTTTGTTGTACCATGTGCAATGACAACAAACTAAACTAAACTAAACTAAACTAAACTAAACTAAACTAAACTAAACTGTAGATGTCCCCAAGTAAAATCGTGACTGTTTTTAAGGTTTTACTTCAGATTTTCTTTGCTTTACAAACCTGCAGATGCCATATATGCCAGGACTAGTTGAAGCGTTACTTTTTCTGTAACTGCAAACAGTCACTGTAACAAGGCAGTTGCTAAAGCTGTTTTAGCTTCATGCAATTCCCAGATTCATTTCTACAACTTTAGAATCCTTAGGATTGCAGAGTTCAGCGACAAATCACAGATAACAGATAGTATTTTTCCTTAGATCCTTTTTAGCAGAAAAGAAACAAAACTAGGCATCTTAAATCCATAGACAGGCTTAGCATATGGAAACAAACAACCCATAGTCAAATTCAATCACTTAAAAGATTTGTTTGTTTGTCTGTTTATGAACAGTCTATTAGTACAGCCTCTGATTCCCAGTGCCCCTGAAGCAGTTCACAAAGTAAAATACAGAAAATTAACACTGCATAATAAAAAAATAATAAAAAGAGGGAGAAAAGGTGGCAAAACTGGGCAACAATTGAAATGTATGCATACTACACAGAAGAAGCTTCACCACCCTATTCAAGTCTTCAAGGCCCAAGATTCAATGGGAGATAGACATATACAGTAATGTAGTATACTAATACACTATTCCAAGTTTCCTCTTACAAAGCCCTAGCTGATTACAGTATTAGTTCTACACACCCAAATGTTAAGATTCTTCATAACTTTTTAATCTGTTGTATGATTCACAATGCTAAAAGACAACTTAAATGATACATTTTGAGCTGCTCCTGAAAGAAGGCCAAGTATTCATTAAGATTCACAATGTCATACATTATATACTAGGAAAACCAGTGTGAAAAGAAAGTAGCTGAGATCCTGCTTTCTGGAACTTCTGTTCTGAGAATGATCAATACAATAAAGCAGGCCTGTCAAAATGGCGGCCCGTGGGTCGGATGCAGGCCATGCAGGCCACGCCCACCCCGGCTCTGCAAGGACCAAAAACATCCCAATACATCACAATACGGCCCACAATATGATCGGGTTTGACACCCCTTCAATAGCTATACATATTCTCTAGTCTCTTTCCAGTGTAAGCAGTTTTCATTTTTCTCAGAGGCATAATACTTTTCAAATTTAGAGATTACAATCAATGACAACAAAAAAAGCAAGAGTAATACAGCTATCAATGAAGCTCCCAGTCCAGACATCTTCATAGAGGGCCCCATGTGTAAAAAGCAGGAAAGATCAATACTGGATAAGTTGAACTTCAACTCAACTATTGAGCTGAAGGCATAAGGGGAAGTCCACTTCATTTTTCCCAACTTCATAATGTAAAGAGTGCCAATGGGTTCTTTCCTCCTTCTAAATTGTTGCCACTCCCAGATAATCACCAACACTTAGCTAAATGCTGCACACATATATTAAGGTTAATTAAACGTAATACCAACCGTAATAGGAATGACTTGATAAGACAACTTGGATCGGGCCTCTTTTCAACTGTGCACAAGACCACACAAGGGAACTGATTGTAATGCAACTGTCTCTCAGCTTCTATACAAACGAAGGCTGTCTACAAGCTTTCCCTTTACAAAGTCAAATAACCACAACAAAAGAAAGAATGGATGAATTGTGTGAAGAGAAACAGAAGGAATTTGAAAAGCCTACTTTAACATAATCTTTGGGATCATCTTGGACCGCAGTGCTGACTCAGTTTACCTCCAGCATAGGTAAACATGTAACTCAATGTTTCTAAAATAAATAGTCTAATACATCAGTAAACTGACTCATAGCTATGACAGTTGCTGTGTCCCGGGTTCATGGGATTCCCCTTTTGTGACCTACTGACAAGCAAAATATATGAGGAAGCCAGATTCACTTAAAAATTGTGTTACTAACTTAACAACTGCAGTGATTCACTTAACAACTGTAGCAAGAGAAATCATAAAATGGAGCAAGATTTACTTAATAATGTCTCATTTTGCAACATAAATTTTGGGATCAATTGTGGTCATAAGTTGAGGAATACTTGTACAATGCATGATATAAAAGTATATGCTGTTGTCTATATAGAATATTGGGCTTGCATAGTAGATTCCGCATTCAAACAGGCATCTGATAGATTTATCTATATGAGTGGTCCCCAATCTTTCCAGCTTGGCAGCAAGGCCCAGCATGGGGTGGGGACATGTGAATGGCAGACGCACATGGGTGTGCACATCTCCATTTGTACGAGTGGTAGGCGCTTGCACTTGCGCGCAAAGACTCTCAGGCACAAAGCTTTACTCATACGAGCACCTTCCACTAGTGCAACCAGTTTCTTTTTTAAAAAATTTTTTTATTGAAAATTATTAAAAATTACAGAAAAAAAATATAGCAATATGGATAGAATTGCAGAGAATGATATAATACATATAGAGTTTTAAAGCATCAATTTTCGCCTAGAAATAGTACAAACCTCCATTAAACCAAATCATCAAAAAAAGAAAAGATTATCCAGAAGAAAGAATTCTCAGCTGCCATGCAATATTCCTATAGATATTTACCCCCCGTCACATTAAGATTATTATTTTACATTCTTCTTAAGATTTCTTTTTTGCAGCCAAGCATACCACCGGTCCCAACTCATATATAGCCCCGATTCTTGTCTATCTCGCAAAAGTCCGGTAAGCTTGTCTGCCTCTGCAGTCCATGATCTTTGCGGTTAACATAGCCTCCGATGGGATATTTTGGATTTCCATTCTTGCGCAAACGAGATCCTGGCTGCAATGATGATGTGGAGAGCGAGATACCAATTAGATTTGTTTAAGTTCTCTGGTTTCATGCCTTTCTGGGTTCAATTTTATCCTATATCCTATGATTTCTAAAATCCATTTTTGAATTCTGGTCCAATATTCTCTTACTCGGGGACAGGTCCACCAGATATGAAAATAAGTTCCCATAGCGGCGTTACATTTCCAACAAACCGGGGAGGTTCCCGGGAACATCTTCAATAATCTAGCCGGAGGGAGGTGCCATCTATACAGCATTTTATATGTATTTTCCTTATAGGAAACCGACATTGTTAGTTTTAGGGTTTTCCCCCAAATTTCTTCCCATTTTTCAATCTAATATCCCAAATTTCTCCCCCAGGCAATCATTAAGTCCTTGATAACCTCCTCTCCAATCCAATCCATTAAGAGGAATTGATACAGTTTGGATAATACCTTCTCATCCTTCCCCAAGATCTTATCAAGTTCTTGTAGGGAATTATAGATTCCTCCCTTGCTTTTGTCCTGAGCTGTCCTGGATTGGATCTGATTGTATGTCCACCAATCTAACTCATAGCCTAATTCCACCAGCGTATTTTGAGGTTTTACTTTGCCTAAAGGATCCAACAGAACTTGGTAAATTAATGGTTTATTTCTGTTATAAAGGGTCGGGTGTATCATTGCCTCTAGAGGGGAAAGCCAAATCGGAGTCATCAGGTAATATTTATTTCTTATTCAATCCCAAATAGTCATCAAAACCTTTCGGATGAAGTGATCCATAAAATATTTATGTTTTTGGGGCCTTTCCTGACTCAGATAATAAAGTCCGAAATAGATCTATCTTAGTCTCCTTAGTCTCCCAATGGGCAGCAGAGTGTTTGCTGGCTGCCAGAAAAAAAAAACTAGAAACTAGTGGATTGTGATTTCACTGAACCAGGGCTGCATAAAAATCTTGGTTTACATAGGAAGAACCTGGCTAAGGAGAA